AGGCATGTGGCACCTTATCGGTACTCTAGGGAGACAAATAGCCGAAGCTACCCCATAGGAGTGCTCTCCTGCATTCGTCCCGGGTACACCATAGTGACACCCAAGAGTCATAATGCCACCACATGGGAGGCTCCGGTCATAATGCCATTGCCTTTTATGGGAACTTAGCCGCCAGACCCAGTAGGTCATACTAATCCAGACCCCAAGACTGTCGTTGCCCAGTGGGACCACGAGGAGGTGTCCCAATTCATCCCTGGTCCATGATGCATCCCCACCAAGACACAGCCATGGTTTGGCCAACCTCATTGAGGATGGCGTCATGACTACCTGTAACGTGTGCCCTTAAGGTCACAGTTACTCCCGCCACATAGCAGCATAACCAGAATACCTTGAGTTGAGTGCCTTTATGTAAGGTAATGTGTAGTGGACCAGTCTGAGCCAAAATTAAATTTGTCTTGTAACTTGTAGCACATGCTTCTCATATAAATTTGCCTCAGTTTGTCGAGGAATTCTGTATTGAAACCTGTGAATGAATGGGTGTAATCTGTCCAGTAGACTTCTCGTTTTTCTGTACTGCCTCAAAATAATTTTGAGAATATGAGCAGATTTCTATTTCCTGTTGCTATGATACCACATGCAACAATTTGACGCTGTGCACTGCAAGTCTCAACTCTCATGAAAGTCTTGTCACAGACAAAGCACAAGCTGTGAACGACATCTTTGTAATATTTGTTCTGCTTCTTTGTAGACGTGTTGATGGTCAGCTGTTGTCGCTTTGGAACGGCTGTGAAATTTACTTCTTGCGTTCAGTAGCAAGATTGGCATTGCTGAATATTTGTCTTCAGAATCCGGCCAGAGATTTGGGACCCCCTGCTGTTGAGAGGTTCAGGGGATTTGCGGCCCATCTCATGGTAAGCGGTACTGTGAAGTACTTGCAGTCATATATTTAGAATGCAGCTATTTTGCAATGAAGTGGTTCACCTACATTGTGAGTTTTTTTATAACTAGTTGAGCTTTCTTGGTTCTCATTTTGTAGTCTAAACCTTCTTTAAATTTAAGATTAAATAGAGTTCCAGCTCACACCTTGTGCCATGATTGAGATCAGGATAGAGAAGTCTTGTTTTAATGTACTGGCTAATGTAAATTTGGTTTCTGTGATTGGTGCATACTTATTTGTATTGAACGGTCCTTCAAACAGTATTTACTAACACTTCAGTCTGTTTTATATGAAAGCATGTAACGAAAAGAAACTTTTTCTGCAGCATATATTTCTGCTTGCTATTAAGTACCAACACTGAGATGTGTTGTTCATTTCTGGGAGTGGTGGATTGTTAGTCTCTTTGAGTTACTATTCAGAATTTGAACTGGAAAACAAGTCCATTATTTCTTATCTGTGAAATTTCAGTGTTATGTAACATGAATGATACAACAAAGCAGTTCTGAGGTGTAATTTATCTGTTTCAACCGTCCAAGTATGTTACCATTCAGTTGGAGTAGCAGTAATGCTGGTGCATGGTTTGAATCTCGGCAAGATATTTTCTGTGTTGACTGAGGTTTTTGTGGTTTTACTCATTCCCTCCCAGGAAATACTAGTAGAACACTATCTCATTTTGGCCACAGCTGCTACTTCCCAGGTCCTTCCCAATACATCATACCTCTGTCGCGACACCATTTGACACTATAATGTAGCTGCTGGCAGCACAATAAATTGTTCTATAATGCAAGTAAAATTTTCAGGTACTGGCTCGCGAACAGAAGCTGTTGCTCTGTGACAGTAGTCAGTTGCTGTGTTCACTACGCTCTAAGATTTCTCAGTTGGCAGCCATGGAGGAAACAGCCATTGTATTACCCAGACAGTCAGTACTGCAGAGTTGGTTGGTAAGATAGCGCAGATCAATACATGCTTGGTTCTTCAACCTAACTAGAGGGGAGTGCCAGGATCTCATCTATGTCAGTTGGGTGTCATGGTATACCATTATGTTGATGTTCCAGAACTGGCAAGTGAAATGCCTGACTCATGAAAACCCTTTTCATATGCACCCTGACTAGGTTTACAATATAACATTTTCCTTCTGGTAGATCAGACAATTTTCTTACCATCTTGTCTTCAGGCACTTTTAATTTTAGTACGTACAGGTAAGAACCTATGAATATCATACTGAAGTCAACACCACCACAGTGCTTAAGTATCAATGTCATTCTCATATATTGTTACCATTTCAGGAGAGACTGAAGGCATTGCTGGTGACATGCACAATTTGCTTGGAGCAGTTCCGTATATTCCTTTATTGTTGTCCTTCTCATGAAGAGCGAGACATCAACTCAGATATGGCAGTTCCAGCTCTGGAACTTTCTGAATTCCCAGCAATTGTGCAAGCCACAAAGGGTGATCACACTTGGAATTTGGCAGAGGAGAAAGTCAAATACTTGTTGTCTGCTGTGTCCAAGCTCAAATATACAATGGAGAAATCAGAAATTGTTCCATCCTCTCTGTATGGTACTAAAGTCCGAGCAGCGGGTTCGACAGCACAGTCAAACATGCTGATGTCACATGCACAATGTGAATTGTTGGTGAATGGCTACAGCCAAATGGAAGAATTTGCAAATGACATAGGTACACTGAAGACTGTGTTTGAGCAGCCGAATAAAGCCGAATGCCAGGAAAGTGGACCTCAAGTAGCTGAAGACAGCCAGACAGCGAGAGGTGTGAATCCCATGATAAGCAGTCTTATTTGGCTGCAGCAGCACATGCTTGAAGAATCAACAGAGTTCTCCTTGTCCACATCTTCACTGCAGGCAGGTGCATCAGTTGCTGAAAGTGGGACAGTGCCAAGAAGCACTGAGCAGGACGCCACAGTCAAGGACTTCAGAGAAGAGACAGAGAAGTTGCTGAAGAACTTGCTGGTGGCTGTACAGGACGTTTATAAGAAGTGTAACGAGAAAAGTGAGGAAGGCATGAAACAAACTAAGGATGTGGAGAATAATGTTGATGAAGGAAATCAGATTGAAGGTGGACAGCTTAAAGTGTTTGAATCCTTGTCTGCTTCTTTATCCATGTTTCGTATGAGCCAAATAAATGAAGGGTTACATCTGCTGATGCAGAAACTTGTAACAATTCTGGATGCAGAGGGTGTCCAGGAAGGAAATGTCTGCAAAAGGTTAGTGCCATTTAATTGTTGTGTACTTGAGATGAGGCGTGTGCACTGTGAAGCGATGTTGAATGCAGTGCTCATGTGTCAGGTTGCTCCTGCTCTGCCTACCCTGCCTGGACCAGCTGGTGCTTTTCTACCAATTCTTTGTGACGCAGCAGGTGGCTTTGTATCGAGTTAGCTGCAAACTGCTCTCTGTCCTGCTGGCTATCTTCCTTGAGTTAGCTCAAAAGGTAATATGTTTCAGATTTAATGTTTTTGAAGCAATGAGAGGGTGTGTTATGGTCTTATAGGTTATGATACCATTCCTGGATGCAGCAGGTACCGGAGTACCAGATTTCACAGTTTCATATTCTTGTCATGTTGTAGTCATTTAGGTTTCAGTTCAGTTTTAAAACTGACAGTAATTTGGATCTTAACATTTGCTAGGGCTTTTGCATTCCTCCTGAACTGGCTGCAAGTGAGGAAGAATCTCAAAAAGACAGTGCAGCTGGTGGACAGGGCCTGGGAGAGGGGGAAGGGGAGAAGGACATCTCAGACCAAATGGAGAGTGAAGAGCAGTTGGAAGATGCCAGACCAAAGGGAGAAGAAAAGACAGAAGAAAATGAAGATTGCAAGGCATGTTGAGAATAATTATTTATGAGTTATGATAATTCTTTCTTAGTTTTTAAGTTGTGGAGATGTTTGTAGAGCCAACTGAAGAGAAGTTGTTGGTCCCACAAGCGTGTGCATATTGTGCATGGAGAGTACTGAGACATCTGGACTGTAACTTCTGTTAATTATCATAATGTGATTTTAAGTAGTACAGATATACTGCTCAGTATAACAGTATATATATATATAAAACAGTATATATACAGTATAACATACGCAATCACAGGAGTAAGACACAACGCAAAGCACAATACACGTGAACGTAGGAAGAATACTCCGACAGAAGAAGATAGGTGTGACTCGCGTACTGAAATATGACATAAGGATAACAAATCCTGAACAGTTTTAACATTTTTAATATTTAAAATTTAGCAATATATATGACGAATATACAGGGTGTCCCAGGAGGAATGTGCCAAACTTCGGGAGGGTGTTCCTTATGTNAATGGCGCTTTAGTGCCGAAACATGTAGTGCAAGAGAGAAGAGTAAGGTGAATAAATGTATGCACTGTAAGACAGTCAGAATAAATCATGGACATAAATCAGTGCAACAGGACGCTAAAATATAACATTAACATATATTTTCTCTATTGATGTTGTGAATAATATGGGTTTATTTCACAAGACATCACAAATTCATGGCCTTAATACTAGGCATAATTTTGACAAATTTGACAAAACACCAGAGAGGGCCTTACTATTTTGTTATTAAACTTTTTAATCATCTTCCTTTAACTATGAAAAGAGTTAATCAATAATATTAAGAAGTTTAGAGCAGCTTTAAGAACCTTTTTACATTCTAAATCCTATTACACTTTAGAGGAATATTTTAATTAGGGATATTTTCTTGTTTAGCTATGGCCCATTATTTGATCTACTATCATGTATATGTTCTAATTTTGTATTATATCTTATGTGCCCATTGTAGGTTATGTAGTTGCAGTGATTTGTATGGGTTTCATATGCTTGATTAATTGTTGTGGATTTATATGCATTGTTCTGTTGACTACTTGCTGAGTTAGCAAGCTTGTGGTGTGACAGGTTCTGTGTCCAATGGATTCGGCCTTGTATGGATGTGCTGGATCGCGTAATAAATACAGATACACCATATCGTAGTCAGAATGAAAGTATTAATTCATAATTTATTTACATCCATAAACTGTTACACAGTGCTAACTCTCCAGAATGGTAATTGTAAATGTACCGGTAGCTTTGTTCATTTCTGATTTGTGTGTTCAAATTGAACGTCAGTAGGTTAGAGTAATATATTTTTGCCCATTTCTTAATACAAATGCAATTTGAAAGTAACATAAAATCAGCTGGAGACCAGAGCAACAAAATGATTTCTTTTTTGATGTGTATACAGGAGGAGGAGAAGGGAATTGAGATGTCAGAAGACTTTGAGGGGAGGGTCCAAGATTTTGAGCAGAAAGAAGATGAAGAAGGTGACTCGGATGAAGAGAATGATGAAGAGGAACCAGACAAAGAAATGGGAGAGACAGATGCTGGGGCAGACAGACTGGACCAGCAGGTATCAGGAACATTTGAATCATGCCAACTTTTGGTTAGGTTTTGCTTTTCTGTGTTTGGTCTCTGGTAATTATTGCAGCTGTTAAATGTTTGTAATGTAAAAAGAATTAATATTACGCTTTCATGATTTGAATGTCATTATTAATAAACGATTCCATTGTGCATTAGAAGGTTAATGGTCTATATGTGTCTCGTGCACAGCCCATGGAAACGTACTGCTATATATGAGCCCTTGCTGCTACGGAAAGGAAACAGATGTGGTGGAACTACTTATTGCAGTACTCCTACATGTGAATTGCTTCAAAGTTGCGAAGTATGAGAATGAGTTCAGTGGGTGGAACAAGTTAGAGTCAACAAGGTTTCTGCCTTTATAAGAAGCCCCTACACGGTTACTAACAGGACATCTTGTTAGCAGTTTGGGCAGTGGTCACTTAGTTAAACTTAGTGTTAATAACGCAGTGCTTATTTGAAGATGTGTTATAAGAATTTAAAGCCAAGCTTGTCTGTAGTTTTGTTAGGTTTAATTTATGATATCACTATATTCAAGATGACTGTAAAGTTTACCAGGAACTGCATCTTGTGTAAGTTGAACCTTGTTCACTTGTGTGTGCCACTTGCTAGCCTCAGATGCTTCGTTCTGTATGTGAGTTTTATGCCTTGTGCTCTTGCCTGTTGTTAGATTTGGGGCAGCGATTCAGAAGATGAAGGTGAAGAAAACAAGGATGATGAAAGAGGAAGTGGAGAAAAAGTTGGTGAACCAGAACTTGCAGCAAATGAAGGAGACAGTAAACCTGAAGGGGAGAGTGATGAAGAGATCACAAGGAAACAGGAACCAAAGAGGAAAGAAATCAATGAAATGGATGATCCAGATGAAAATGATGATCAGATAGATCCATATCATGGTCAGTACTTTTGTGATGAAGCATCAACATGTGTTATAATTTTTTACAGTTAGAAAAGTTCAGAAACAGAAGTCTCAATAATCATCCACTTTTAGTAGTTTTCTGTTAATTCATGTTCTCATTAAGATCACAGTCTTCTGGAAAGTGACGAAAATCTACCCCCAGTGGTTCATTCTTAGTCTGATTCACTTCCCCATATCAAAAATGAATTTTTCCCATATGGCTTACTCTTCTGTCCTGAAAATGGGGACAGCAGGTTTCTCTGAAATGTTGCCACCTATCTACCAAACTCCATGGCGTCACATCCTAGAGGAGTGTAAGCTTAAAACATTACTTTTTAGAACAACAACAAGTGCTAATTACCTGTCCTTATGCTACAGTTCTCATAAGGTGAACTGTACGGTGATGCTGCAGGCTTGTGTGGCATCTGGATCACATGCTGTGACCCTCTGCACAGTTACAATTGCTAACTCTCACTTGTCATGTACAATAGGTAAGCATGAACCACAGCCTGAGCCAGAACCACTTGACCTTCCCGAAGATCTTCAGCTCGATGATGGTGAAAGAAAAGATGGAGCAGATGAGGATGGACAGGACGAGAATCCTTTTGATATTGACAAAATGAAAGGTGGGTACAATTTGAAGCCATTGTCACTTAACCACCTTTGCATGTCATGTTCATATGATTTACTCTGGAGCAATGATTCCTGAAGCAGATGATTTGGTTTTTGTCTGTATCATTTTTAGTGCTAATGCTTGAGCTGCTTTACTGTCACAGTTCCTTCTGCTTTCCTGCATGTTTCTTAGGATGATTTAAATCACATTAAATGTGTTATGATTCTTATTAAAGTGTGAATGTAATTTTAATACATGTTGTGTACCATGTACTGTACATTTTATTAAATCAAGTTATATTTTAGGTATGGTTTGTTATACATTAAAAACTTGGAAAAGACAAAAACTTTAGCCTAAATAACATAAATGTTTTCTCTTACTTTTGTCTTGTTCATGCACTGTGTTGTTCTGAAGCTAATGACAAGCATATCAATGTGGAAAACTTGATACCTGTGAATAATCCCCCACAGAGACGTTCTATGGAATTACTTAATGCTGTACGAAAATAAGAGTTGCCTCTCCTTTCACTATTACTTGTAAAATCATCCTCCCTTTTTCAGAACAAAGAGTGCCAGACGAGGAAAAGATGGAAAAATCAAAGGATGAAGATTTGCCTGAAGAAGAAGAGCAGATTGATTCTGATGATGAAGAAACTGAAGAAGGCAGAGAGAAAGAGCAAGAATGTGAGGAGAGTTGGAAGTCGGATTCAGCTGATGCAGAAGGAGGAGGCAGCAAAGATGAAGAGAAGGCAGGGGATGAGCCAAAAGTGGAACCTGAGAAGGAGATCCAAGAGGAACGTGCAAAACCATCACAGGATCATCCAGCTGAGATACCTGCAGAACCTGCAGCAGAAATGGACCAGGCATATGGATCAAAAGATCAGGTTAGTGCATTTCGTCGCACTTAACAATTCTTGTTGGTGGTGTATGGATCCTTTGTGAACAAAAACCGTTTATGATGTATTAGCTGGAAAACATCATGTGGGTTGCTGAAACAAGGTTCTTGGGAATCGAACATAATTGGAAACAGAATGTAATACATTTTGCAATGATACTGCGAATATTTATAATTTTTAAATCAATTCTGAAGTGAAATAACATTTAGATTGTTTCATGTAGGTTACTGCTGATAAAGACAGAGATAAGAACACAATAGGGCTACAGCCACCTGAAGAAAGCAGTGCAGAAGGGAAGAATGATAAACAAGGAGTGGGACAAGCACAGGCTGAGCAAACTGATACCGGGCACCATGGAGATGTGACAGCCCACGAGGATAATGTTCAGACTGGTGACAGCCAAAAGGAACAGAACATAAGGAGGCGGCAGCATTTACAAGAAAGTGACAGTAACAGGAGCCTGGGTGGGTAGAGAGTACATGAGACCTGCTGCATTCTGTGTATATTTGTATGTTTACCATTCAGAATTGTTACTGTAACTCAGGCTAATAGAGGTGTCCAGGCCTTTTATTCATTCCCTGATATTCTGCAAATTTCCCATCTAAAATTATATTCCATAGCATAGCAGACTTTCAAAGAGACAATTGCACATAGTTAGCACAAAGTATTATACTTCAGCATACTGTTGCATTGGGGTACAACTTATAGTCTTGTTTTCTGTCTGTAATGCAACAATATTAGTTTAACAACATTAATTCACATTTAGTTCACTAAATGTTTGTTAAATGTTTAAAATGTTATGAAAATTGCTAAAATATATATACATTTGGTGTTTATGTTACATGTTTCAGCTGCATAGGGCCTTCTTCAGCGAACACATGTTTTAAAGGAGCCTGCTGCACTGTGCTCTTGGTCAAATTGTATTCATATAAGCACATCGTTATTATTAACTTCTTTGAATTCTGATGTTGTAGGATGATTTTCTTCGTATCTTATATATTGCGACTGCTTTCGTGTCCCATTGTGTGTTCCACTCACTCAGTTCAGCTTTAACCAACTGGCTTTTTCAGAAATGTTGTTAAGACACGTTAGTGTAATCCATTGAATTCTTTTACATGGACAGTTTTACATGGTCTGGTTGNTGGTTACACCATTTAAAATTATATTCCATAGCATAGCAGACTTTCAAAGAGACAGTTGCACATAGGTAGCACAAAGTATTATACTTCAGCATACTGTTGCATTGGGGTACAACTTATAGTCTTGTTTTCTGTCTGTAATGCAACAATATTAGTTTAACAACATTAATTCACATTTAGTTCACTAAATGTTTGTTAAATGTTTAAAATGTTATGAAAATTGCTAAAATATATATACATTTGGTGTTTATGTTACATGTTTCAGCTGCATAGGGGCTTCTTCAGCGAACACATGTTTTAAAGGAGCCTGCTGCACTATGCTCTTGGTCACATTGCATTCATATAAGCACGTCGTTATTATTATTAACTTCTTTGAATTCTGATGTTGTAGGATGATTTTCTTNCCTTCTTCAGCGAACACATGTTTTAAAGGAGCCTGCTGCACTGTGCTCTTGGTCAAATTGTATTCATATAAGCACATCGTTATTATTAACTTCTTTGAATTCTGATGTTGTAGGATGATTTTCTTCGTATCTTATATATTGCGACTGCTTTCGTGTCCCATTGTGTGTTCCACTCACTCAGTTCAGCTTTAACCAACTGGCTTTTTCAGAAATGTTGTTAAGACACGTTAGTGTAATCCATTGAATTCTTTTACATGGACAGTTTTACATGGTCTGGTTGCAGGAGAGATCAGTGAGCCTGTCAAGAAGAAACTNGTCATTGAATTCGTTTACATGGACAGTTAGAGGAGAAGACTAGGAAAGCATTAGAGGCATCTCACAAGTCTGTGTTCCTGACAGAGGCATCAGGTGTAACTGCAGTGGCATCACCAGCACATGACTGACAGTGAATGGTCTGGTTGCAGGAGAGATCAGTGAGCCTGTCAAGAAGAAACTCAGAATGGTGAACATGACAGTGGAAGAGGAGAGAGAAGAACAGGAGGAGGAGGAGGAGGAGGAGGGAGGACCTGAGAACCATAAGAATGCTGACATCTACCAGCATATAAGAGAAGCCAAGAAAAAGTTTGATACTCAGGCTTTAGATGCTGCAACCAAGGTCAGTTGTTGAACTGTTGTGTTGCATTTGCAGGAGACACTCTAACCAGTTAAAAGTAACATTACTGAAGTCACCCGAGCCTCAGGCATTTACTTCTCTGTTAACTAACCATTTATCTTATCCCTTTAACATCTCATTCAAAAGCACAGCAGTAAGTGCTTCAACATTTATAAACTCTTCATTTTTCCTACAGTGTATTTATGTTCTGTATGATTCTTGCAATAAACAGCTGTTATTTCTCTATACAGCATTAAGCAGTTGGTCTTTGTAATAGAGATGAAGTGTGTTCACTGTGAGGTAGGAATTGAATTTTCAAGTATTGTTTAGATGAAGTTCGTGCTTTAAATTGTTAAATGACACATAATAGACAGATGCACACATTCAAATATCCTGTAACTTCATTTGTAAGGGACACAAATATTGATTACAATTGTCTACTTTGTCAACCATAGGAACAGGCAGAGAAGCAGCCAGTTCCAAATTTGGAGGAAGAGAGCGGAGAAGAACCCAAAGAAGATGACAGCATGGAGCTTGAGGATGACACAGTTCCACATGAAGATGAAGTCCCTATAAGAAGTTCAGAAAATGTTTCAGGCAATAAGAAACACAGTCAGGAAGAAAGTGAGAGGGCATCTGGAGAGAGAGTTGATGAGGGTGGTGATGCAGAAATGTGTGTGCAAGTGGACGGTGATCAAGTGGAGACACTGGGTGCTGCAAGAGGCAGTGAGACCACGTTTCATACTGTGCCTGGAGAGATAATGGCTGATGCCTCTCAGAAGGATTTAATGTCTCCAGAAGATTACCATGCTTTGAGATCTCAGTTGGAGAGTCAGTTGGCAACTTGGAGTCAGGTTAGTATAATGGATGGTTTGAATGAACAGTTTGTAGATACAGACAGTTTTTACCTTAAAATTGTTGTGTGCCAGGGAGTTTACACTGTCATGCAGCACAAGGACTAGGGCCCGTTTGATCCATTCTGACTCCACTTTTCCTGGTTCCCATCTTGTGGTGCCACACAGTGATGAGTTGTTCTGAGTGTGTGAGTTCTCTTCAGCTCATTCCATAGCTGCACACTTTGTCCCCAAACCTAGAAGTGTGTGTTATGCATCTGAGCTGCTTCAATTCCTTTCATCTGGTCTGCATTTAGGGCCCAGGATTCTCAGCTGTACAACAATGGCTGGAGGACCTTTACCTTGCATACTGTTTTACAAAATGTGCACTTATAGTACCACAAAAGAGGCAGAATGTGTTAGTTTCACCTACACATCTCTGTTATTAGTATTAAGTATTTCACAATGCGCCAACTTGTTCACTTGCTTTCCATCCACAGCAGTCTTTGCTCTAACTGATTTAACTCAATTCACTTCGATTTATTTCAAATTCAAAAATAGATCCAGATACAGGCTGGGAAACAACCATTGGATATAGAATGAGTCACAGAGCAAAAAACAAACATTCCATTCCCACAGAAACAAGTCAAGGCATTCATAATATAAAACAAATAAAAAAGAACATAACCATATATACAACAAAACTCTCCCAGTTTACAAAAACAACGCAGAACCAAGACATCTTATTATAGAACTCTCAAAGGTTTCAGGCGTCAGTACAAGTTCTTTTTTCATTTTCATTACTCGTCCATTATTTCCATAAAATCCAATACTTTAGGATGTGGAAAAGTCATATTAGATAAATAAGCAGTACAAAGAACTAAGTCAAGACATAGGAATAGAACCAGAATACAATTAATCTTACCGACTAGTATATACAAAAAATTCATACACAGTATAAAATGGGTGACAACTCAAGAATTCTTTTAATTTTAATTTAAACCTTTAATATCTTTACATAATTGCCTCAAATTCAGTGGGAGACAATTGAATAGTTTGATGCCCATAAAATGTGAGCCTTTTTGACACTCTGTCAGATGTCATAATTTTTAAATGAAATGTTAAGTTACATTTCCCTGCAGTCTGACTGAATATGTACGTAGAAACGTGTATATTTTAATACATCAATTCATTTTCAAAATCTTTTTATATTTTTATTTCTTAAAACCTGGGGCATGTGGCTTATTCAAGAAAGTGTGATATTACAGGTGAAAGTTACGGAAATTTTACCGTATTCAAACGGATTTATTAATGACACTTGAAATGTTCAAGCATTGTTTTAGCATGGTGATGGAAAAAAATAGAAGGTAAAGGTATCCCTGTAACAGGCTGTGGAGACTCATAGGGCTAGATGTCGAGGCTCCCACATTTTCTAGACAGTCAGCTTACAGATGGTGGTCAGGTTGTCAGCCTTACATACTGGCTGCCCATTACCGCTAAGAAGATTCCTGGTAGTCATATCGTATCTGTTAGAGGCTGAGTTGATCCCAGAGCCAAAGTGGGGTTGGAAGGATTAGGTCAATTGAAAAATCTAATGACCCCATCGGGAATCGAATCCATGGCCTTCTGTCTTGTAGCATAGTGCTTCAGCCAGCTGCACTACTGCATACCCCTTTAACACACTACATGAATATTATCTGTATAGCAATTTTGGTCTGTTCACATCTGGCAGGCTCAAACTCACCCTCAGTATGAGTGTGTGTGCATTCCTTATCACTGTTAGTGACCTGCTCATCACCAAGACACATTGTCTTGTCACAGCCCTTCCAATTAATTGCATATTACCAGCACTCTCTTCACGCACTTTAGCCTCCGCCGGATGAAGAAGCAGTGAGAGCATGGGAGTTGTTCAGTGCTGTGACTTCTGGATTGGCTCGAGACCTCAGTGAACAACTCAGGCTAGTGTTGGAACCTACACGGGCCTCTCGTCTGCGAGGAGACTATCGTACCGGACGTAGAATCAGCATGAGGAAGGTAAACTCATTACAAGGAAATTTGTAGCAGTATTTTCCTGATTCACTAAATGTTCAAATTATTGTGTCATTTTATTCCAGGTAATTCCATACATAGCAAGTCAGTTCCGAAAAGATAAAATCTGGCTCAGAAGAACAAAGCCATCTAAACGTGAATATCAAATAGTGCTGGCTATTGACGATTCCTCCAGCATGGCAGACAATCATTCCAAGGAGGTAAAAGAAATGTGTTCAGTAATCAGTTACAGTGCAGTCCTGTCTCCAGATGGCTGTTCTCAACAATTTCAGCTACTTGATTCTACCCAGAACTGTTTTTGGTGTAGTCAGAGAGAAAAGTTTGCAGAAATATGTTTCTTGGCCTTTCCATAACTTCATGTTCACATGTAACAACTTGAGAACTGCTGAATGGATTTCCCTAAAATTTGAAGTTGGGAAGTTCTGCTAAAAATCTGTTCACATATTCCACTTTTAGTTAAAATTTAACAGTGGTAATAGACATGTTACATGAAGATTTACACTCATTCTGCATGCATCTCAAGCATAACCTGTGTCTAACTCACAAAATATTTGTTGGAGCAATAAATGTTTAAACAGAATTTGTGTGTGAAGGGGAAGAAACACATATTTTATGTTTGGTACACTTTTCTCATAACTCTGACATTTTTTTATATATTTAAAATGAAATGAATGCCTCACAGTTGTTACACTATATATACGAGGAGCATTCCGTATGTAATGCCTTTTTTTTTTTAATGAAAACTACAACAGATACAGAAAGCATAATAACGCAGTTAAATAGAGCAAGATTTCAGCTACTTACAGTTATTTTTCCACATAATCACCATTTATTATGCACTTTTGCCAGCGATGAACAAGAGCCTGTATGCCGTGCCTGTAAAACTCTGCGCCAGCAGAGGCTAGCCACCTTCTTACAGCTGCAATGACAGCATCATTGTTTGGAAAATGTTGCCCATGTACTCCATTTTTCATAGGCCCAAAGAGATGGAAGTCTGAAGGTGCTATATCGGGGCTATAAGGTGGATGTGGTAGGACAGTCCAGCCAAACTTTGCAATGTGCGCGGTGGTCGCCAAACTGGTATGGGGTCTAGCATTATCGTGTTGCAAGCGAAAGGCTGTGTGCTTCCCTGGCCTGACTCTGGAAATGCGGGCTTTCAGTTTAGTCAGCGTTGTCTTGTAGAGTTCAGAATTGACAGTCTCAAAGGCTCCAGGAAATCCAAGAAAATCACACCCCGCCTATCCCAGAAGACGATGACTTTCCCTGCCAGTGGCTCTGTCTTGAACTTCTTTTTTCTTGGGGAATCTGGATGTCGCCACTCCATGGACTGTCTTTTGGATTCCGGCTTGTAGTGGTGACACCACGTGTCATCTCTGGTGATGATGCTCTCCAGAAACTTGTCACCTTCAGCCTCAAACTGGTGCAACAGGTCCTGACAGACTTCTGTTCGATGAGTTTTGTGGTCCTGCGTAAGTATCCGCGGGACCCACCTGGACCAGACTTTGCAATAATCCAGCTTCCCCAACATTGATTCCAATGCATTACAGCCGATATTAAGCCATGCACACAGTTCCCTGATCATTATCCGCTGATCTGTGCGGATGAGCTGATCGGGGCGCTGTTCATTGTGAGGAGTGGCAGCTGAGCAGTGATGCCCAGGGCATGGCTTGTCATGCACTTCACTTTCACTATTGTTGAAACGCACTACCCACCGCCTCACTGTGCTGACATCCACTGTATCATCTCCATACACCTTTAGCAAGCGTCGATGGATGTCAATGGGTGAAATTTGTTTGGCAGTGAGAAATTCAATAACACATCTCTGTTTTGTACGCACTTCTATGTCAGACGCCATTTTGGTAGACTGCTCTGCTGTCGCTGTATGTCGCACGACAACCAAACTAACAGTACATTGGCGGGAATGTTCAACCTTTACTACACCACCACCAACATCCAGCTCAGACATTACATATTAACACAAAAAAATAGGAGGCATTATATACTGAACGCCCTTCGTACATTCCCTGACTTCTTGTTGATATTTGATATTAGTCTGTCAACAAAGTAACTTAAATTCTGATTTTATATCACAGGGTTCCCTTGCATGTTAAATGTATTTATATTGCCCCTGTATAGCTTTTGCATTACTGGCTGAAGATCCATGGGAACTGTGATTTTAGTTCTCCTCTCAAGGCCTTATTTAAATGGTACGTTGCACAGATAAGCAGCCAGCAGGGTAATTAAGACTAACAAACAGTCAATAGGTCAGATTTTTAGTGATAGCTGTTTGGGCTTTCCATTTTCTTACAAGCACACTCAATTGTTGGCATATAAATTAAATAAAGTAATACTTATCACCATGTATAGGTGATAGCCACCATCACAAATTGAGTAGCAGAAATGTCAGATGGTAAGTTATAGAATAATTTAATCAGGAGTGCTAATCATGTAATGTTGAGAATGCAGCACAGGGATCTTTGCTGGTAGACACTTATGTAGTAATGTTAGTGCTGTCATGCACAGGCGTGGGTGTAAAGATTATAGTCCTTTGGGATGTAACACTTTGTAATGTGGTAGATAAGTACTGACATTTCAGAGAAACCTCCATCTAAGGGTCCCTTCTTATACCCTGCCTAGCGGACTAAATGGTGGCACATCCAAGGAGACCACAGTCTTAATGTTCATAGCCGTGAGAACCTCAGATGTCAGACATAAAGGTAATCTTCCTTGTGGCCACATGTTGAATTCACTAAGACTGTCCCAAGTAGCTTTTTAAAGGGGAATCAGTTGTAATGAGGCTACTGGTTGCTCACAGGTTTTCACTGGGGAAATATTAAGTGGATTTTTTTTTTTCCTTTTTGCGGCAGAGATCATGTTCCTGTTTGCTGGATTTGAGGCTCTGAATGTGATAACTATAAAGGGTATGGTCTTCTGGGCTGTAATACAAGTTTACCACTTGCTTCTGCTGCTTTCTTGTGTGGCTTACTCTTTGACTTCCAAGATGGCAGTGATACATTCCTCTGAAGTACACAACATTACCACCCAGAAGATGGTGCTCTTCATGTTCTTATGTGTTATATGTGCTGTACTAGCTGGCATTTGAGTCCCTGGCTCTTGTAAGTCGAGCCTTGACGCTGTTAGAGGCTGGAGAGTTAGCAGTGATAAGTTTTGGAGAGACCCCGAGAGTGCTGCATCAGCTGGGAAATCCCTTCACAGAAAAGAGTGGTGCAAGGTGGGTTGAATACAGAAGGTATTGTCATCATCATCTTTCTGTTTCCCTGTAAACTCATATCATTTTTGATGCTGGCATGAAGCACCTTTAAAGCATCTGATGGATGCTTTGGTGTTGTTGCTCCTGTATAGTGAAAACATCATGTGGTTGCAGACAGAATGAGAAAATGTAACGGTGTCTCAGGGACACACAGCAGGTCTTCTGCGCTTCTGATTTATAGCTGTAGACAACCCTTTATGTTTGTGTGTTTCATGAGAGATTGCTCTAGTTATGACACTGTATTGACTGATGAAAGATGACATAAATAAAGATCATTGTTTATATATAAGTAATGTTGCTTGTTAAATATTTATTTGTAAATGAGTGTTAGATATTCACAAATTTCTCTCAAATACATGTCAAGTAACTTGCCTTGTTGTTTGCTTTTAGCTTATTACAGAAATTCTCATTTGAGCAGAAGAATACCCGTGTGGGCCAGCTTGTAGACTTTGCGACAACAGTGTTTACAGCAAATCGTTCTCGGCCACTAAGCAGTAATGAGCGTGCTCAGTTGTTAGTAATTGTATCAGATGGTCGTGTCATGAGTGAGGGTCCTGACAAGGTGAAGCAAGCTGTAAGGAGAGCCAAACAAAGTGGCATCTTCATGGTTTTTGTCATTGTGGACAACCCTGAAAGCAAGGTAATGACATTCAGAGTGGTTCTTATGGTGACTCCAGATAATAGGCACATTGAAGTTAGCTTTTTACAGTTGCAGAACAGTCCTGGTGTTTGACATTCTCCAGCTCCATGTATGATAAAATCATGAAAGGCAGTAGTTGTACATGGAGTGTCCCTGCAAGTGCCCAGAGTAACAGACATATATAGAATTCATTCTCAGAATTGCCTTATCCCCCCCAGCTATTTGAGAGACATTTTTTATTACATAGTGTAAAAGTTGGCAGTAACGGTTAACTTTCATCATCTAAAATGTATGTAAAATCAACAGTGAACTTGACGTTTGTCATTGTGAACACAGCATACTGCTGTGTCTTGTCGCTGTCACTGCAGCATGTCCTCTGCTTTTAGTGTTGTGTGTCTCAGTTTGAAATGTTGTATGAAAGGTAAACTTTGAAATATGAAATCTTGTTTGTTCCTGCATTGCTTGTGCTCTGTGTTTCAGGATTCTATTCTGGACATTCAGCAACCAATATTCAGTGGAACGAAGTGCCTGGGCTTCTCATCCTACCTTGACAGTTTTCCCTTTCCTTTCTATTTGATTCTGCGGGATATCAATGCTCTGCCAAGTGTTCTGAGTGATGCATTGCGACAGTGGTTTGAGCTGGTTACAAATATGGATAAATAGCCAGTACCACATTGATACTATGGTTACGTATCCACAGCATACATATGGTTGTGCTCCACAAACCATGGTATTCTGAGGGCAGTCCATACCACCATCTAGTGCCAAGATGTGCTTCCATATATACAGGTTTGCCATAGCTCAAGCGGTTAGTTGCTGGCTTCCCACCGTGGTGGCCCGGGTTCAATCCCGGGTCTGGTCAAGTGGGATTTGTTGTGGACAAAGTGGCACTGGAGCGGGTTTTCTCCGAGTACTTCGGTTTCCCCTGCCAATCTGCATTCCACCAAATTCTCCATCATCATAATCACCCGGGCTAGGCTACAATAGGCCAATCAATGGCCACCGCGCTGAGTGGGCCCAGTTAGACTCCACCCCCCGCTAAGCGAATTTAAAATATGTACAGGTTGTTGTCACAGTGATTAAGCACAGGATGCATAATATTCATCTTCATCTGATCTTTTATAGGTTCCCAGAAAAGGGGAGTACACTGGCTGATCCCATGTTTAGTACAGTTATCTGTAGGTACATGATAATTTAGTGCCATGGTTATATTGGATACATGTGGTTTCCATAAGTGGATGATGTATACTGCTTAAGCCGGTTGACAATACAATTTCCTGTTCTAATCTCTTCCTGCATGTGTGTTCAGTATTGTCTGTAATATTTATATACACTGATAACACGTACACTTATTACAAATTTATATTTGCGAAACAGGAATTGTTCACTTGGTGAATTGTCCATCTCTTCATGTTACAGAGATGAGTGGCAATGAACCTTTAGGCCTGGGTTTAAATGTGTGGGCAAGTGGAGTTTGTTAAGTGGCTGGTGTGTTCATGTGGCGGTCCTGGAGCCCTGCTTATAATTCCAGACTTCCAGTTTTCTTTAGAAGGAAGTGAACAACTTGTAGACAGAGTAAAGTAATAAATATTTTTATAATAGAATGAAAGTTACATTGTGATATAAATGTTAGCACCATTTGTTGGTAACTGATAAAATTACCTCTGAGCAGCAATATTGTACTGACCCATAAACTGTGGAGAACAGAACTCAGTATAACAGTATGTGTTCTTGTTCTTGTTCTAAATCATCATTAAAACTGTCTGTAACCAGAGTAAACTGTGATAGTGAGATTAATTTATTACACTGACAAGTCAGTGTTTTTTAAATATGGAGGGCCATACTGCATGCTGGTACACAGTTGACTGATTAGTGTACAAACTTCTGTGAGAACATGTTTCTGTTTTTTGCAGTAAAAATGTATTGTACTGTGGCCTGAATCAGATGGAAATATATGGTTCCTATAATGGGAAGAAGGAACATGATTGATGTGTTGCACGGAGACCACCAGCCTGCCCTTATCCCCCCCCCCCCCATTTCATGCTGTCCATGGGACTTTCCCATTCTCTGCATTGTGGTATTAGTCACTGGCAGTGACACTTCGTTCTGAACTTTATACTCCCGTTCTCATTTCTATTTCCCATCATTTGTTGCCTCATGAACGAAAAAATCCTATCACTTTTTGCATAATACAGTAATTTGTGTGATATTGTATGAGCAGATATAACCTGTGGCTGGATAACCTAAACATTGTGTTACAAGTAGCAGGTTAGGTTAGTGCAGCATGACCTAAATATGTAACAGTATATTTAATGAATGTCTTTATGCTGCTGTTTGTAAAACGTGTAAATCTCAAAAAACTTTCTTTCTGTGCATTTAAAATACCTCCAACCTCCAAAGCCACTATCTTGCTAATACAGTCTGTTTCTTTCAAATGATGTTTTCAGGTTTCCAAAGGATTTAATTTGAAATCTAATCTGTAATGAATAGATATGACTATCTGGTGTTTGCCACTTAATGAGGTTGCTGCCATGACAAAGATGCACAGCAGGGAAGTAGCTCACAGGCGAGTGAACTGTAGGAAAAGTGGTTTCTAAAGGGTTCTGGTGATGGTGTATAACACTCAGAATTACTAGATTTTTGGACGTTTCCATCATCTGGTATTGTAGAGACTAGAAAATGTCCAAACTGGGTTGGCTGATTGGCTAATCAGCCAACCTAATTTAGACATTTCTCCTATCTGGTTCCGCCCCCATCAGCAATGAGGTTTGTAACTCAGAGAAGATCTGTATGACATGACAAATTCTTCATTGGTTTCTGTAAGGTTTCAGTCTTGAATGTTCAGTTTTTACTCCACAGATGGCAATAGTGGTAGATATTATGTATCTTTACAAATTGTGGAATTTGGTGGAGTCAAAATTAATGAGAGGGTCGACTTGCAGGCAAAGCTAGCAATTAAAGAAGGCAGAGGTAGCCAACTACTACTACCCGTGGCTGATCTTAAAACCGAGTGGAAAATGAAAGGGAAAGAAGAACTCTACAGCTTTTGTCAAAACACCAAACAAGAAAGGGGAGAACGCTACTTTGAAAGGTACTATAGGAAAGGCTCTACTCCGTGGTTTAGTCAGATAAAAATGAACCGCCGTGCCCTCGTGTCAATAAACCGTATGCAAGCAGGACATACCAGTCTTAAAGTAAGTCTAAACAGATTTAACATTGTGCCCACGGCCGAATGTGAATGTGGTGACGGGTTGCAAACGGAGGAACATATTTTCTGGGATTGCAAACAGTGTGACGACCAAAGGGCAATAATGATGGGCATCCTCTCCGAGAACAGTAAAAAGAACTACCCAAAATCAGTCACAGAGCTCTTGAGGCTAGAAGAAAAGAGATTTCTGCAAGGCGTCTGCTACTTCATAAACAACATTCCCATATATATTTAAAACGGATACGTAAGGAAAGAACAAGAGGAAATGGCACGGACCACTCACAACATTCTCAAATTTATGCTAAGATGTGAATTAACCGCGGGCCCACCGCTACTACAGAAAGAGAAGTTTTTAGAATGTGCTACAGAAGGCCGGATGGGCATTGCCTAGGCCACTTTTGTATCCTAGTTTTTTTTACCCAATTAAAAAAAAAAATCTTTACAAATTTTTTCCCCATTTCTTTGCATTGGAGCTCATGCACTTTGTTTTGTTGGCTAGGTTTGTAGCAAAAAGTCTACCTCCTTTTCTATCCTAATACCACTCATATGCATGGTCTGTCATAGTACTGCATATTTTCTTATTATATCCTGCCAAATTAGTCTGGTCTCAGATAATTAAATAGCTGTGTGAATCTGATGAGGGTTGTCTAGTGATTGAGGTTAGCTCTTTCTAAGAGACCCAGCTGAGTACATGTCTTCCCCCCATCTCACCTGATGACAGAAACAGATCCAGTTTTCTAATTTCTAGAATACCGGAGGATGGAAAAAGTCCAAAAACCCAGTAATTCTGAGTGTAACAAAAGTCTTTGGTTCTAAGACATTAGCATGCTGTAGCAGTTCTTTGCAATTGAAATTCCGCAGGTAATGATCTCTCTACCTTTCAAGTCTACCATTAATGTTATAGTCATGCAGATTGTGACACCATAGAGTTTAGTAGTTAGGTACCAACATTTCAGAGATACTGCTTGTCGCCATCTTGCAACCAGAAGACTACAATCTTAATTCTTGTTACTGGTAAACCTTAAAGCCTCATACCGCTTGCATTGTTACCATTCCCATAATTTTCATGGTGGCAGTTACAGGTATCGATGCCTTCATAAGTATAGTAAAAGTAAAAAGTCACAAGAGAAGGACACCACACAGAACACAATATACACATGAATGCAGGAAGAGTGCTCCCATAGAGGAGGATTGGTGTGACTCGCGTATTTGAGATGCGACGTATGGATGACGAATCCTGAAAGGTTTTAGTATTTAGAATTTGTTGTTATACATGACGAATACGCATTTTAGTCATTTTATGATGGAGGCGTGATGGCACACAGTGCAGTGGTTTGACGTGGATAGACACACCTGAGGATGGCACATTAGTGCCGAAACATGTAGTGTAAAAGTGAAGAGAAAGGTGAAATCGTGTGCACTGTAAGACGGTTGGCAAAAATACACATCATGGACATAACTCCCATTCGTTGCACTATGAAAATAATAGTGTGGGTTTTAATGTAACAGATCAACTACAGATCAGATCTTTGCATTTGTCAGATACTGGAGAAAAATGGGAGTACAATGAGACAGTGCATAAGCTATTTGTAGACTTCAAGAAAGCCTATGATTCAGTTAGGAGGGAAGTACTGTACAATATTCTGATACAGTTTCATGTAGCCATGAAACTAGTTAGGCTGATTAGAATATGTTTAAATGAAACATATAATAAAGTCTGTGTAGGTAAACTCTTGTCTGGTAATTTCCCTGTCCAGAATGATCTAATACAAGGAGATGCTTTATCGCCACTCCTTTTCAACTTTGCTTTAGAATAAGCCATTAGGAAGGTCCAGGAAAACCAGATGGGACTGAAATTAAATAGGACACATCAGCTGTTGGCCTGTGCCAATAATGTGAATCTATTGGGTGATAATGTAGATACCATAAAGGAAAACACACAGACTTTAATTGACGCTAGTAAGGAGGTTGGTCTAGAAGTAAACAGAAAACTAAGTATATGTTGCTGTCTCATCACCAAAATGCAGGGCAGAATCATGACAGAAAGATAGGAAACAGATGTTTTGAAAATGTGGCACAGTTCAGATATGTGGGAATGATGATGATAAATCAAAACCTGATTCAGGAGGATATTGGACTTGGGTAATGCTTGCTACCATTCAGTCCAGAACCTTTTTGTCTTCTCGTCTGCTGTCGAAGAACATGAAAATTAGAATATGCAAAAGTATACTTTTCCCTGTGCTTCTGTATGGCTGTGAAACTTGGTCTCTTGACATTAAGGGAGGAAGAGACTGAGGGTGTTGAGGAGAATATTTGGACTGAAGAGGGATGAAGTGACAGAAGGTTGGAGAAAACTGTATAATGAGGAGCTTCATAACTTGTACTATTCTCCAAATATAATTTGAATGATCAAATCAAGGAGAATGAGATGGACAGGGCATGTAGCATGAATGTGGGAGACGAGGAATGCATATAGGATATTGGTGGGAAAGCCAGAAGGAAAGAGACCACTGGAAAGACCAAGGCATATGTGGGTGGACTATGTTAAAATGGATCTTAGAGAGAGAGGATGGGATGGGATGGATTTAATTGAGCTGGCTCAGAATAGGGACCAGTGGAGGGCTCTTGTGAACACGGTAATGAATGTTTGGGTTCCATAAAATGCTGGGAAGTTCTTGAGTAGCTGCAGATTTGGCTTCACCTCAAGAAGGTCTCAGCTCCATAAGTAAGTAAGTAATGGTAATATAATAATAATAATGATATGAGAACACATCATTTTATTTCTACAGCTTTTAACAACAAAATATTGAAAATAAACATCCATTGAGATATTTCTGACAATTTCTCAGACCAGTAATTTTCAATTAGCAAGCATTGTTCCCAAACCACTCTCACCTTCAGTTGCCATATTGCATTCCTTACATGTGAAGGTCAAACTTAGAGATAAAATCAGTGTTCTCTGACCGCAACCTTCACGCAAGCAAACCAGGCCCCCTGCTGACTCCTGGTTTTCTATCATTTATAGTGTTCTGTGCATCTACCTGGGTTATTGATTTTCTTGAAGGTTATATACCTGTGTGCAAATTGTATGTTTGAAAGTGGTGGAGTGGGGTCAGGAAATCAATATGAGGGAGAGACTGCATGCCAAGTGATGGAAAAAGAACATTTGCTCCACATTTCTTGTGCTTCTGCTGTGGGGAATGGTTCAGTGTACTGTGCACTGCATTATGGGTGCAAACATTTGACTCTGCTCATTTTCAGTGTAGTGTGTTAAAAATGCCATAGAACAATATTGCACAATACAAATGTGATTAAAGAAAAAACTGTTTGCGACTAATGTGTTACAAAACGTGAGGAATACCATTTAGTGCTTATGTTCGAAAGTAACTGGCTTGCCTAATAGCATAAACTTTTTATTTTATAATATAAAACTGACTGTGTACAACAAGAATGTGATTGAACATCCACAAAACTACATGCAGCAGTTTAAAATAGCAAGACTGATGTGATGTTACACTGTGGAAGGATGACATCTTATTGTTGGGCTGAGAAGCATGTTCCATCCTTGGAAAGAATTTTTTAATGAAAGAAGCTGAAGTGAGGTGAGTTCATGCTGTATAAGGAAAGCAGCACTCAATCAGTCTTTGCTTGTTAGAGCTCACTGATTTTATTGTTCAAGTTGTTTGGTGAGAATCTGGTAGGAAAGTGCAAAGAAGGATGTCATTTTCTCTAGACGTGAATATGAAGGTCATTACATGTGTATGAAATGTTAATTCAAGCAATGTTCCCACATAATGTTTATGATGTGGGAAGGTATAAATTTAGTACATGTCATTCAGTATCACTATATATCTGATAACTTACATGTTCCGTGGCAGATATCTAGATTTCCTTGTGTGTGTGTGTGTGTTTTTGACTTTGTTTCTGAAACTTTTGAACATTTACAAATATTGAAGTGGAGGACGAACAGTAGAGGTGTTTATACATTTCATTTGGAGTTTCCAGGAACTTACTGATTGTAATGAATGGATAATTGGTTGAGAAATGGAGACGACTCATCACGCAAGTTCAGCGCCAAGCACTAAAAAGTTGACCATTCCATTCTATGCTCCACCACCACACATAGAGAAAACCAGTGCAGAGATTATTAGTGAGGCCCGAGCATCCATAATACGTGATAACAAAGGAATTCGAATTGGGAACACAAGAATGGCTGCTTCCATGCGGCCCGTGAACACCAAGAGACCATTCACTCCTAGGGAAAGACAAAGGACACTGTTTGGAACAATGCACAAATCAAGTTACAGGCCACCAAGCTCTGTCAGGTTAGTGACTAATTAGATTTTCTCTCATGCACTTGTTAAACGTATATAAACAAAATTGTATTAGATTGTGTGCACACAGGGAGGTATGTTACCTGAAGTATGGAGAGCATTACAGAATGAGAAGTTTGTGATCTGCACTGGTCATCAATATTGGAGTGTCAGAACATTAGGAGAGTCCATGAAATGTACCATACTTGTACTTGGTTGAAAGCAAGTGCTGTTGTACAGAGTCTTCATGGAATGATAGGCTTGGTAACATTGCAACAAATTTTATTAGTTCTTAGGTTATTTAATAATGCTTTTTCAACTGCATAGGTTCTAGAGTCCACAGTGAAGTCTTTGAAGTGAAGCCATGCCATTGTGGAGCTGATGCTCATCATTCCAAAGACTTTCCCTGCCTACACCATCAAGGGAAAATGTGATGAGTGTTATGTTGGCACATGATACATGAAACTGTCATCTGTGCCATGTGAGGAATAACGGGTGAAATTGGGGTGTCTGTATTCTGTTCTACCACAGACTGTGGGGGGGACACCATTTCGTGCACAGTGTAGGCTGAGACAAGTTTGTGTATAAGTATAGCATGCAAAAAAACAACTCTTGTCACATCAAGCCCTGATGCTTGAGACAGACATGAAATCCATGTTGACATAGCTAATTGCCCAAGAAAACCCCACTGTATGTCCTTGCCATGAGATCTTTAAATTGTATATATAGGGTTTGTAGTATTTAATAAGATGGAGAAATGATTGTGAATCTTTGTTTCAGAATGTATAGGGTAGGGACAACTGAGTGTTTTCATGTGTTGGTTTGAGAAATTGAATCTTTCATTCATTTGAATTCTGTTGGCTTTTATTCATTACAGTCTGGGTTATCTGCAATTTCATGATGCAGATCTTGGCAGTTCAAAGAGCATAAAATCTTGTAACATCAGACGGCTTAATCCAATCCTTGGTACACTGTCTTCTCCATCCCTTAATATCAGCAGCAGCTTAACAGATGTAAGAGACTGGAAAGCACTGCTCAGTGACAGTGATTCAGAAGACTCTGCTGGTGCCCTAGGCACAAGGGGCAAAGTCCTGTCAGCTCAGCCATTCATGATTCCATCATTTCTAACTCCTGATCAAATAAGCAATGCTGCAAACAAGTTTCGCCTACCATCTATTGATGGACGATGTAAACCATTGCTTAGTAAGAGACATCAGTTTCGTGCATCTGCTTCACTAGATAATCGTAAGTTGCTCATTGAAAAGTACCACCTTCATTCCAATTAAATGTGATAACTCACCCACATATGAGAAATACCAGTGCAAATAAGTCTGAACTTTAAATCCAAATATCCTATACCTATCAACTAATTCTTGTAATGTATATGTTGGTGTGATATATTTGTAACATATTGATCAGTAATTTGTTTTCAAATCACAGTCCCCAGATAACAAGAGTGTGGACATAATTCTTAAGAGGAACCTGATGCCTCCATCTTGTGCCCCACAGGAACTTGAATCTCACATTTTCTAATAATGTTCTTGCATTGTAAAGGGAGATAGAAAAGTCGCACACATCAAACTAAAAGTTGTTTTAAATTGTATTGCAGTTAATATAATTATATCTCCTACTGCTAGATGGTACTGTACGAATACTAACAACAAGTAGAAATGCCATCTGTTGTGTATTGGTCATATGACGTTTGCAGTATAGCTTTGTTTATTGCGTGACAGACATGTCGGTTTCTCAAGAACAACGAATTTTGCCAGTCCTTATGCACGTGTCACAGACGAGTTTTGTTGGAAATATCCGGATTCTGCAGTTCCTAACAATTTGACGATAACAAGAATAATCAACCGATTTCGGGAATGTGGGTCAGTTTCAGATAGGAAGAGATCTGGGAGACCGACCATTTTGACTGAGGCTAAACTGGCTGACGTGGAGAGATATTGCAGCGTTCCCCTTCAGAAAGACTTAGGAGACTAGCAGTGCAATCAGGGATTTCGTATGGAAGAGCTCAGAAAGTGATGAAGGAGTTACACCTTTGTGCATATTGTGTTCGCTGTGTGCAGGAACTGAAGGACCTGGATAAAGAAAAACGCATAGTGTACTATAGATGGTTTCGGACATTTGTTGGCAATCATGGAATTGAAGAGTTTGATCAGGTTTTCTTCACTGACGAAGCATGGTTTGACCTTAGTGGCTACGTGAACAGTCAAAACAATAGGATTTGATCATCTGAAAATCCGCATGTTACATAAAAAGCCCTTGCACTGTCAGAAAATTGGGTGTGTGGTGTGCTGTATCACGTCGTCGAATAGTGGGTGCAGTTTTCTTTGAAACAACAGTGAACAGTCCAGTGTACAAAGACATCATTACACAGGTTTCCCCCCCCCATGTCATGCATCCTGTCATGTTATAATATACAATTTCATTATTAAAACCGTCACAACACAACTATATCAAGGTCAGTGCCTAGTTTGGCTCTGCTACATGTTTCGGCTATTAAAAGCCATCGTCAGGCAAATACATGGCTAACATATATACACCACTGAACTGCAGTACTAATAAAATTGGATACAATAAAATTAATTATATTAAAAAACTTGGCATAAAAATACAATAAATTTCATTATATAAAACAAAAGTTATAGTATAAAACAAGAATAAAAATTCTTCGAGTGATGCTTTACATCATCGAGTCAGTCGTTGGTTTCTGTGATTTTGTTGTGTTCCCATGGACAAATTTGAGTATTCTATATTTTGTGTATATATAATAAACTGTTTTGGAGGCTCGTGATGTAGCTGTAGTAATATTAATTTTAATCTGAAAATGATATGAAAGTAATAGTATTAAATTTTGTTATAATCAACAATTGATTTAGGTATTGAAGATATAGTGTATTATTTACCTACTATTTAGTCAGTGCCTTATCTTACAAAGTATTGTCCCTTCTGTAGGGAATGTAAACAACGACTGATCTGGTGATGTAAGATTAAAGTCAATGCAAGGGCGGGAGGGGGGAGGTAGAAATAAGGTGTATGCAGAAGGGGGGGAGGGGGGTATGACTATATGTTATGTTTTGTATGTATTAATGATTACATCATATATAGTGTTGAACATTTCGGTAAAATTATCATTCAGTTGCAAATTTAGTTTGCTGATTTTGTAAATGTGAAATCTTTCATGTGTATCCAAGGTTCAGCCTTTCTTCCCGATATATAGAACTTCCAATATTTTGTCTATCATACTACATGTATATTCATGTGTGGTGTCCAATATATGTGGAGCAAATTTGGAGCTTTGTCCATTATTTTTATGTCTCATATGTGTTCTCTGAATCTGATGTTAAAGGTACGTCAAGTCTGTCCTACATATTTTAATGGACAGTCAGCACATTGCAGTTGTAAGCCCCACTAAGATTATACTTATCAGTTCTGTCATCATATATTTTTAACAGATGTTTTATATTGTTTTTGTCTTATGTGAGATACCAACTTCAGTATTCTTGAAAAGTTTAGTAATAGATCTGATTTCATGGCCAAAATAGGTAAAGGTGGTCCATTTCTTTTTGTGCATAGTATTTTTTGTGTTAGTTGTATGGTATTTAGTGGGTAGTTATTATTCAATATAGTTCTAACAGTGTTTTCTTCTATGTTTTTTATTGTTATGCGAGAGGGGATATTGATTCAAACAGTTAATGAGAAAGTTTATAGCAGCTTTTTGTGTTCAAATGGGTGACATGAATCATTGTGGATGATTAGCTCAGTAGTTGTAGGTTTTTGATAGCCTCCAAAACAGTTTATTACGTATACACAAAATACAGAATAGTCCAATTTGTCCATGGGAACACAACAAAATCACAAAAACCGAACACTGACTCGATGATGTAAAGCATCACTCGAAGAATTTTTATTCTTGTTTTATACTATAACTTTTGTTTTATTAAATCTAATTTATTGTATTTTTATGCCAAGTATTTTAATATAATTAATATTATTGTATCCAATTGTATTAGTACTGCAGTTCAGTGGTGTATATATGTTAACCATGTATTTTCCTGATGATGGCTTTTAATAGCCGAAACATGTAGCAGAGCCAAACTTGGCACTGACCTTAATATTGTTGTGTTGTGACGATTTTAATAAAGACATTGTATTACACAGTTTATTGCGCTTCTTGAAGTTGATGAACGTGAGTGTTGGTTGCAGCAAGACGGTGCCACATGTCACACATCTAATGAAACCCTGCAGTTCTTGTGCGAGTTTTTCGGTGACCATCTCATTTCGAAAGGATTGTGGCCCCTGCGTTTGCCCGATCTGTCACCCGCAGATTTTTTCCTTTGGGGGTACCTCAAAGAAATTGTCTATAAAAACAATCCACATACACTGGATTACCTCAAGAGGAACATTACGATGGTGATTAACAGCATCAGTTTACAGGTGCTCCACAAAGTGGCCTCAAACTTGATAAAAAGAGCTCACACATGCATTGCTGAACAGGGAAACCATTTCAAGCATATGTTGTAAAGACATGATTTGAGTTTGCATTTCTAAGATGTAAGGTTGTATACATTAATAGTAAGTGCTGTATGTGTTGTAGTTTGTGCATTAGACCAGCAAAATATAATTGTTTAGCGTGATGTGTGCAACTTCTTGATCTCCCTGTATTTCAGTGTTCTAAGTACAGCACATTGAATTATTATGAAGTTGTCTCTAAATGCTCTAGTTACAGTTAGAATAAGTATACTGATATTTATAATAATTTTTTTATATTTATTTCAGTTCCTGAAGAGATAGAAATTGATGACAGTGAATCTCAAGATTGTGGACTAAATTCAGGTAGTACAAAAGATGTCCCACCAGCTCGCAAGGCGTACAGCAGCCCTGTACAGCGCACAAAGAGTATGGACACTGAACTGGAACAGTGTGCATCTACATCAAGTGTGAAGCTGTTGGGAGCACAGCCATTTGCAGAAATTAATTCTGGAATAAACGAGGGTGCACAAAAATTACTAAAAGTGGCACAGAACAAAATAAATGAAGAGACAGACACTGTTAAAGTTGTGGCTAGCAGAAACACTGCCAGTTGTGGGGTATTGAAAGACGGAAGGAATCAGCATACAGTGTGTGAGGAGAACATTCAAAAAGATCCTTCACATAGTTTAAAGGCCATGAAAGGGAATTCTTTGGAATCCAAACAGAGGAGTCCAAGCAAGGTCAAGATGCCGCTGCAGCCAAGCCTGGGCTTAGCTACATGTGCAGAAAAGAGCACACTGAGTTCTATGAAACTGGCAGGTTCTAAAAAGAAGAATTCCTATACAGCTGATCAAAACAAGAGAAACAAGCTTACTGCAGGAAAAGAAAATTCCTCACAAGATCCACCAACACGAGGCAATGCATTTGGTCCCGAACTGAATATAACAACTTTGAAGAACAAGCATTTACCTGATACATCTCAGAATAACTCACAAGGCCAGAAAGAAAAATCCACTTCCATTATGATGGTCAAAAATTCAAAACCAGTTTCTAAGAATGATACAGGTCTTAAACAGAGTTCACTAACTGTAGATCCTGTTATAAACGGTAAGTGGGCAACTATCAGTCAGAGTGAGGTGGCTCTAGAATGTGGTACAGAATCAAAACTGCAGAATTTGGCAGTTGCACAACCCCAGCCATCGAGAGAGACCTCCACACTGGACTCAGCAGCAGAACTCAAGAACAAGCAGGCACTTTACCATGCAAAACAAGCCACGGAAACTGCAGAGAAACATGTTAGTGTGAGAAAGAAATCAAAGTCTGAAGATAAGAATGTTGTTTCTGCTGCTGAAGAGAAAAGCAGCTTTGTTCTCTCTATCTTATCTGTGCTGAACAGTCTCGCAGGGAAAGGTAAAGTTGTTTATAAACTGTTTACCTAATTTGCACTGGACAAGGAACTGTATCTTCACTTGCACTTATAGACAGAGTGTAGCTGCACGACTTGAATTCACATTATGGGGGGCACATGGTGTTGTAGTTGGTTGAGGAACTATGCTACAAGCCAGAAGGTGACAGGTTCAATTCCCAATTATGTCATTGGATTTTTCAATTGGTCTTTTCCTTCCAACTGCTCTATGACCCTGGGGTCAACTCAACTTCTAACAGAAATGACTACTAGGAACCTTCCTGGGGGTAAAGGGTGGCTAGTGTGTAAGGCTGACAATCTGTGAGACAGTTGTTTAGAAAATGTGGAGACCTCAACATCTCACAGCGTTATGGCCCTCCACAGCCTGTCAAGAAATGGTTGTGCCTTTATGTATAATATATAAAGAAAGTTATCTAGAGGTTGAATCAGAGATCCAAAGAGAAAACTTGCATGACTCCAGCTACATTTACAGAGTTTGTGGGAGAGTAGACAGTGACAGTAAATATGTAATGCATGGGTATGAAATTAGAATTCATAGTTCTCATATTTTCAGACTTATTACTCCTAATTTTCTTGTTCTTTGCCATTTTAATTGGTACTCATATCAAGCATTTTTGTGCTCAAATTATATGCATCTGTCCCTCATGTTCCTGAAAGAGATTTAAGTATTTCAAGTTTTGTTTCATAGAACTGCAAACCTCAAATCTGGAGAACCATTAATCTGACTTACTCAATTTGGTATAGTTCCTAAGAGTGAGACTTTTGTCGGTGACAATGTGACAGTTCTTACAACTCCTAGCAGTGAGAACAAGAAACATGATTATCCAAGAATAAAGAAAATGTGATTCATAAGCATGGATCATAAATTACAAGCAAAAAACAAAAGTTTAACAAAGTTAAATTTCTTCTTTTGCTTATTAAGCACCGTGCCATGAAGATGGGGGCATGCAGTAGCGTAGTTGGTTGAGGCTCTATGCCACAAGCTGGAAGGTCACAGGTTAAATTCCCGATGAGGATATTTGATTTTTCAATTGACCTAATCCCTCCAGCTGTGCTGTGTATGGCCCTCAGGTCGACTCAGCCTCTAACAGAAATGAGTACCAGGAAACTTCCTGGGGTTAAAGGGCAACTGGCACATAAGGCTGACAACCTCACTTTCATCTGTGAACTGTTTGTCTAGAGAAAATGTGGGAGCCTTGAGATCTCACAATCTTGTGGGCTTCCACACCCTGTTGCAGGGATAGCTTCTTTTTTACCATGAAGATGTATGGGGAAGGGAGGTATACCTCCATCTCATCCATATATTTTAATGTTAGTGCTAAATGGACATATGTGGTCAGCTTCATGTCCCTGCTGCTTTACAGTTGGGTGAAGTCCCATGAGTATTGATTGAAGAGGAGATTGGGGGGCTACAGGGCCAGTCCAGGCAGTGTCAAAGAGAGAAGAAATTTGTGCTTAGGCCAGGAATTGAACTCAAGTGTCAGACCTACAGCTAGTCTCTGTACTGACTGAGACGTTATAGTTCTGTATGAAGTAGGTACCTTCAGATATTTACAAAAGCATTAGCAGATATCTGAAACTGTGTTTGATTGAGATAAATTTGAATTTTCATCACTTATTTTTCTCCCATGTTGCAGAAGAATGTACAGAAGAGGCTATATCTTGTATGTCAAAGCTGTACTCAGCTTTAGAGGCTGAAGGAGGAATAGGAAGGAATATCCAGAATACGAAACTCAGAGCTCAAGTATTAAAGACATTGTACAAGTTTGTGGAATCATCAAACGAAATGCTGTTACTCCAGATTGCCCGGATCATCCTTGCTGTAAGTAACAATTGTATTGTGGTGACACAATTGTTAATAAGTTGTGTGTGTGCACTTAACAGAGACAGCTTATGTGGGAATACTGATTGTTGCAGTTCCGAGTTAGTGGCAAGAATCTGTCAGGTGTTTGCAAGCTGGTATTCAAGGTATCCAGGTGTGACAAGAATGACAGACTGTTCCTGGAGGACAACATTCTTGGTAAGCACCAAGTAATATGCCACATTTAAAACATTTGTGTGACTTGGAGAGAAAAAAAATTCTTGGTATTGAGTATAATTGGTAATATGAAATGCAAATAATAATATGTACAGTTTAAAAAGGCTTAATCACATAAAACCTGTTTTGTCAGACAGTTTAAGTTTCTTACTAAAAGAGCTTTAATCCAACTACCATATTGCTTAAATAATTATATATTATAACCATAAAACATCATCTCATAACAAATCATCAAATGTATAAAAAGAATTACAATACAAAAATTCCTTTAATTTGTCTTTAAACTTTTTCATATCCTTTGAAATTAGCTTAAGTGAGTTGGGAAGTGCATTATAAATCCTTACCGCCATATGATACACTGCATTTCCATACATCACCAAATTTACTTGGGTCATATGTTTGTCCAAAATGTGGCTGGTATTAATTTCATAGTGAGCTTTGTTTGTATCAAATATTTCTCTGTTTTTTACAATAAACATCATCAAGAAGTATATGTATTAATGGAAATAAATATTCACTTTTGTATATTATTGCAAATGGAAAATGAAAGGCATTGAATGAAGTGTGCGGCTGAAGGTCATGTGGCTCTCAACAAATCAGAATGCAGCCTGTACAATTCAGTACTCATTTCAAGTGTGAGGAATCATAATACTGCAGTGCTGACATCATGCTCGTGTCTGTAGCCTGTTCCTTAAACCCTGTCATTATTTCTTAAGTTGAAAATGGCCACTTCTTTCTTGAAAACCAGTTGTAGCAAATGTTACAGCTTACAGAAATTTACTGATAACTATTTGTGCAGACTGTTTGATATTAAAATGTATTTTACAGACATGAGGTGTGAGGTTGTAGATTTGATAAATCTGGCTCAGAATATTGACCATTGGTGGGCTTCTGTCAAAACAGTAATGAAACTTTTGGTTCCATAGAAGACTGGAATGTCTTAACTAGCTGCACAACTGTTCGCTCTTCCAGAAGGACTGTGGTCTGTGGAGTTAGTTACCTTGTTAGTTTGGGGTTTTGCAGTGCTTCAGGTGTTGATCTATATTGTAACTGTTCACAGAGCTGTTTGTGGAAGTGCTTGGTTCAGCAAGTCCCCTGGAAGATGCAGAGTCATGTGTTTATGGGTATGGTGCCCTCAAGTTTCTTACAATGAACAATGTGTTGCTTGCTAAAGTGCTGAAGCTTGGAATATTGGAGTTGATGGTACTGCACATGAAAATGGTGAATACTGCGGTAAGTTGTGGCATGCACGCTTCACATTTCACCTTTCTCTCTCAGGCCATGCTTAAATTCAACCATTATTAATTTAGGAGTTGTCTGTCATCGATAAGAACAATTATTTTATTCAGGAACTCTCTCTTTTTTGTACCAAACAAAATCCAAAAATGTCTACATTTTATATCCCCCCCCCCACTTAGCTCTGCAATATAACATCTGACTTGTATTTAGAGAGGTCTTGTGTGGGTGTTATGGATCCCAGTAGCACACAAGGACAGCACCTCCTTGCCCCTTCATTCTCCATACCAAAAAGTTGGCTCAAGCAGTAATGCAGGTTTCAGATTTTGGCTAGCAAGCTGACTGTCCTGACTGAGGATTTTGTAGTTTTCCTCAGTCTGTCCAAGTAAATGCTGGAATAGTACCTTAACTTAGGCCATGGCCACTTCTTTCCACATCCTTTCTAATCTATATTTCATTACCATCAAACCATTCAGTGCTATTGACAGCATTGCTAAATAAACCACAAACACAAAATGTCCAGTATAATTCATTGCACACAATCTTCTTTGGATTCTTTCTTCAGTTCTAGATAACATCAGCAGTTGATACAATGTAAGATTTGAGGCTTTCATGGCGGTGACTATGAAGAAAGCAGTCTTCTGGGATTTGGCGCCGTGTATATGTGGTGTTAACCGATGTTTCGGAGGAACGTATCGCCCCCATCTTCAGGGTTGAAGAAAAAGTATAAGTAAATCTGCAAGCGACAACACCGTGAGACACGGTCAAGCAGAGTCTGCTTGACTCTGCTTGACTCAAGCAGAGTCTGCTTGACCATGTCTCACGGTGTTGTCGCTTGCAGATTTACTTATACTTTTTCTTCAACCCTGAAGATGGGGGCGATACGTTCCTCCGAAACATCGGTTAACACCACATATACACGGTGCCAAATCCCAGAAGACTGCTTTCTTCAGTTGATACAATGTCTGTTTCCTGTTGTAGCGGCTTGAAGGGTCTCGCATTCCTGAACAGACTAGCCATGCCTTGTTTCAACTTACTGGTGCATTGCGAAATGTTGCGGGAGAAGAGGAAGTGTTTCCCCAGTTTGTATCAACTGGTGCTGTCAACGAATTGTGTCGAGCCATGGACGTCTTCTCATCTGATCTTGATGTGATCAGTAACATTTCAAGAACACTTAGGTAGAATATTTAGTTTCAGCAGGTGCTTGCATCTGTTTATTCTTACTGCAGAAAGGTATCTGATCAAAGTAAATTTATGTCTTTTGTATGTTTTGCTGTGATCAAATTCCTGCATGGGCAACCCAGATCAATAACAGTCTGTAAATATTCATGAAAATAATAAATACAGTGAAAGAGCAACAAAGCATTTGTCATGTTAAAATGTTTTCAGATTTACAAAATATTTTTCAATGTATCGCTTGTCCGCTTCATTTTTAATTGTCCTTTCTTTCAGAATTTGATTCAATGAAAATTTCAGTACAATAAAATGAGTCCATGTGCTACAAAATTAAAAACTTATAATATTTCCCTTTAATATTTCGCATTCTATGGACCCATTATATATGGTACAAAGACATATCAATCTTCTTCGCATATTGTAAATTCACAATTACGATGAAGTGCTGCTAACATGACAAAGAAACTGAATAAGGGTAACTGAAAAATAAAGAAATTTAACATCAGGAGTGTAACATATAACAGACTGAACTTCAGTTATTGGTGCTTGGAGAGCATTCAAAATTAGATGAAACTCAAAATTGTAAGAGACCTGAGTAAAGGGAGGACAATGATGAATGCAGCCAACAGTGACAGTATCGTACAGTAATCTCATTCAACATTTTCAAAGTGTTAGACCAAAACATGTTCACACTGAGAAGCTACAAGGTCATAGAAAGACACATGTGAAGTAAGTGTGATACTGGGTATTGTTATTGCCTAGGGGCCTGAAGTGCTCTCATTCTGTCCGTTAGTGTTAGAATCATAAGACCCTGTAGGAGGCAGCAGTCAGAATATCTTGGCATGTAAACTAAATTCAATGGCTAAATTGTTCCTAAAATATTTTTAAGACTGGAAGATCAATTGAACCTAATAGTGTACTGTATTTGAGTGCATTTGAAACATTCTAATGCAGTAAGGCTGCACAATAGCTCAAGCAGTTAGTCGGTGGGTTCCCACCATGGAGGCCCGGGTTCGATCCCGGGTCTGGTCAAGTGGGATTTGTGGTGGACAAAGTGGCGCTGGGGCAGGTTTTCTCCAAGTATTTCGGTTTCCCCTGCCAATTTTCATTCCACCAAATTCTCAATCATCATAATGACCCAGGGCAGGCTATAATAGGCCAGTCAGTGGCTGCCGTGCCAATTGGACCAAGTTGGACTCCACCCTCCACTAGGCGAATTAAAACAAAAAAAATACATTCTAATGCAGTGGCATGTTGGCGTTGATCCATTGAGCATCCCAGTATAAGGCTGTAATTTCACTTTTATTAACATCACACTATCAATGGACTGCGCTTCGTGTGCATGACAGATACAAGTGCAGCTGACTGCTGTGTTTCCCGCTGCATTTAAACACCACAGCATCCAGTCTTCTGTGTTGTTTGGAGAGAGCCCCATGTCTCAGAGGAACATCTTGCTGGATGCTCTGGCTGGTTTTATGCTTGGTTTATTCTTTCCTTGAATATGGAGGTGATATATACCTCCAAAACATTGGCTGTATGCAAACTTCATGGTATTATAAACCAAAACTACCATGAGGACCTCAAACCTATCATTGCAACATGAATTCTTGGACATTCCAGGATGACATTAAATTTTCCTGACACTGTGAAATGTTGTGTGAATTTACTTCTCATTTTGTTGTTGAATTCAAACTAATGAGATAATTTTCCTAATGCATAATATTACTAATATATTGTTTTCCCTCCTGCAGTATAATCTCAACCCATGATGACTGCTGCATGTCTATAGTTAGTTATGGAAACATCTTCAAGATATTTGTCAGATTGCTACAGAAATACCCAGGTCGACAGGACATTGTAGTGCGACTGGGTTATGCCCTTGGAAACTTAATGGCTAGTAGTGACATTGCAAGAACCAAGGTAAGGATACTTTCAGCCTGTGTGTGTAGTCTACAGGAACTCCATAGGCTGTTCAGTTAATTTAGCATTGTACCAACACTGCTCTTTTCCAACCCGCCTTTGTTATATCAGCTCAGTCAGAATGGTGCTATCCCTGCTACACCTGTTTCTACCTTAGGAGAGTGGGTAATGATCACTGCAAGTTGTCCTCACAGATCAAACTAAGGAAGGTCAGTATAGGTACAGGAAACTAGCTGGGTCGGTTAGCATGAGAATCAGGGTAGCGATGCCGAATTAAGTGGTATTCTGGGAGTTGATCCAACTTGATGTTGATACACTTATATTTTCTCTAAACCACACTTTTTAATTTATTGTGTGCTTATGCTTTAAAATTATAACATGTTACTTGATCTACATGCTATGTCTCGGAGTGAGCAATGGTCACATCCGTACACTTCAGAATATAGTCAAAGACTTTCGTGGAATGACTTCCACACCCCATGCTGGGAATTAAAGCAATTCGAATTCACCATGGTGCAGACATATAGCCTTTGTCAAAATGCTTGCCTACACTTGTTTGCAGTAATGACAGTCATTAGTTTCTGATGTTGCTTTGCTTCCAACAATGTTTTTTTCAGTTCTTCAATGAGGATGGTGCAGTTGCTTCCATGCTCAACTTATTGTCCATTTACTTGGACAAAGATCTCCAAATGTTGGGATCTACAGACTCTCACAGTGAACTGAACTCTGATGCAGGGTCCAGTGGATCTGTTGAAGATGTCATGGTGAAGGTAATATGTAGCAAGACATGAGTTTGGGGATTCCAAGCTGTATGAAAGTCATATTCCATTATGAGAAGCCTCCATCCGTGTTCCACACTGTGGTCTTGTTATGGCATCGTGCGCCTTGCAGGTGGTTGTCAGCATTCCAGAGGAACCTGTTGCCATTATGTTCAGTGTAGATGTCTGTAAAGCTGAAGTGTGGATAAGTTAAATGGCAAATTTGGTGGGATTGAACCAAGGGGAGTACAGGGATTGGTCACTTACACTCAGACATTATGTTGAACATTGTCTGTTGTCTGAGGTATATTTAGTGTAATTGTGGGTTTTCAGCTTGGCTCTAGATGATTGATTGCCATTTATAGTTCATGTTTATTTTAAATTTTAGTGATAGTGTTCAGAATCAAACTTAGAACCCTCTTAGTGTGAAAACATGTGTGCCACACATGCAGTGGTCTACTCTTCTGATGTTGAATTTGACCAGCCAACAGACAGCGTCACTGTGTCCACAGTAATTGTGGCGTGATAGTTTGTTGGATTTGGTAGCAGTTCCACACAGTCTGGGTATGTCATCTCTTGCATGAGCAAGTATCATTTTTGTCAAATGTTTATATTCAGAATAGTTATAAAGTGTCAAAAATTCTGTTTAAAGACGATTTTTGACAGTTATGTGGGGGATGTCATATGCCTTGGTTTTGAATCCTTATTTATGATTTTCATTTTTAGATGGTCCGTATTCTTGCCAACATGAGCATCAACCCAATGGTGGGGAGTAGCCTGACATGCACATCTCCTGTGTTCTGTAGCAATTATGTGCAGCAAATAGAAGTAGATCCCAGTAATGTTGGTAATACAACAGAAGGTAACAAGGTAAGAAAGGCTGAACTTCATCAGTTGATGACTGTGGCATGGGTTAAGTAGAAAGCTGCACATCACATCTTCAGTATATATCTGTATTTATTTCATTGTTTGTGTGACATTGCTTGCCCCAGTGCCATTCAGAGTAAGTTTGTTACATAGGTTAGAAAGTTGGTAAAATGTTTAATAATGCTGAATATTTACTACACATCCATGCAGTGAGATTAACTTTATGATATTGTCATTATGACAGAGGCTGACTCAGATTGTTTCTCACTTACCTTTAATGTGCAGTAAAATCTCTTTTTGTAAAGATGGCTGACCTTATCTCGCAGCTTGGTGCAACACAGAACGTTTATCTTTACTGTGTTCTCATAACAAAGGACCACAGATATTTTACTGCACAGACATCATGAGGTTATGAAAGAAAGTGCTGTACAGAGTGGCCTAGAAGTCAGTTAAGCTAAAACATTTTCTTGTATTAACAGGAATATATGACATATTCCACATCCTACAGTCGTTTTCACTAACTTTGGATCCATGGAATGCAATGCCATGTTATGTTATGTTATTCACATTTAAAAGTGACAGTCCATATGTGGAATGGTATCACAGCATTGTGAGTTGTATGTTAAACATGGAGGATCCTATTTTGAAGAATTTCTATAAGTAAAAGAAATTTCTGTCTAGTGTGCATGTTACTAACCAGTTAACTGACTTTTGGGCCACTATTAGTAATAATGTTTTAATAATGCATAATCTGTTATTTTTTAAGGATGGAAGACAATTTCTGGATGTCCTTCTAACTGTTTTGCGACACAAGTCAGTGGTTGATAGCGAGGAACTTGTGCACAGTACCCTGAGCACACTCAATAACCTTTCATACTATCCTATTAGTAATGATGGGGCATTTGGCGAGAGGCAGCTAGAAATTGCACAAGGTACATTATAATTTACTTACATTGCTTTTTTTTTTTTTATTATTGCTAGTGTGGTGGGACTAAGTCCCTTGTACTGCGGCTACTTCTGGCCTATTGTACCAGCCCCAGATGATAGGTGAAGGGGATTGTGGAGCAGTTGGTGGAATGAAGATTGGCAGGGGAAACCAAAGTACTCAGAGAAAACCTACCCCAGCGCCACTTTGTCCACCACAAATCCCACTTGACCAGACCCGGGATTGAACCCGGGCCGCCGTGGTGGGAAGCCAGTGACTAACCGCTTCAGCTGTGGCACGGCCCAATTTACTTACATAATTTGAAGTTGATTTAATTTGAGTTTTATTAATTTCATATAGGACAGTTAATGACACGACGGTGTGTACTTTAAGATGACCATACACACTGGCTATGATTAATAGAATTTAAGAACATAGGACAACCCATTGCACATTTTGGAGCACTGAAATTTGTGACCTTCTTACTTCAAGAGGTATATTTAGGAAATAAACAATTAGTTAAGCCAGAAGGTATGCTCCTGAGGACAGACATGGATCCAGTTTCTTGCTCCTTATCACAGGGTATGATGATTATTATTCTTTATGTCATGAATTTAAAAATTATTATGGATGGTTGATGTCATATTGCTTATAGAAGTAAATGATATTGAGGGTTCTTTGTCTGTTGATGCTGTTCCCCCCTGAGCTATCCTTTTCTATTTATCATAGCCTCCACCCCTACTGCTTGGCAGAAACGCAACTGCTACTGCAGGGGAGTATGTTGAACTAGTAATGTTGAAGGCATTCCCGAATATTTCAGCTCTGTGTTCTCTGCTACACACGGACAACAAGGAGTGCCTTGTGGAAACAACAAGGGTCTATGGGAACCTGACTAGGTCAAAGGACATTCGAGACTTCCTTGTAGAGAGCGGTGCATGGAATCAGATACTAAAATTTTTGGACTGGGATGACCAGGAGCTCCTTTGTACAACTGTGGGAATATTGGTGAACATGATGGCGGACTGGGATAAACGACTTGCACTGAAAGAAGGCCATGGTATAGAAAGGTATTTCGCAGAAATAGCAGTTTAATTTAAATGTAATGGAATTCTGCTGCTGTATGAAGGTATTGTTCACAACATGCCATATCCCAGACAGTCCTGCATGTACTTCACAGTGCTTCTAAGTTGGGGATCTTGGGCTCTGTTGTGGTGCCATGAAAGGCGCATGCTTGTTTTGTATCTGTTTATGGTGGAAACAGACATGAAGACATGACTGTACAGGACAGGCACCTGTTTTGTTGATATCTGAGGCTGAAATTTGTAACATTTTTCATGTCCATGCAGATGCTGGGCAGACTTACTTCACAGAGCTTCAACCTTAATGTAGTTACTTATAATATTATATTTAAGCATCCTGTTACACTCACACAATATATATGAGACAAACTCCGTCTTAAGTGCAACAATGTAATTGTAGTTCTTTCTTCTTCCCTTCTTCCAAGAAGAAAGAAATACAATTAAATTGTTGCACTTAAGATGGAGTTTGTCTCATACATATAGTAGTTACTTATCCCTTAATTGTATGGATTCAGCTTCTAGGAGCTGTATTTACACGGGACTGCAGGCACCCAGGAATATTTACTCCTGCTCACTAAACTGAAGAAAATATGTAATCAGGAAACAAATTGTGCAGTAGTTTTACACTACAGCCACACAGAGTTACAGCTATCAAAGTCTGACTCAGAACAGATTAATGAAAATCAGCGAGTACTAGGTTGCATCATGAAGATTAGAAGATGGAAGTGTGTACCACTGTTTATGGGCAGTGTCACGATGTGGGAGCACTTCTCTTATTAAGTATGTCTGTACTGTTCTGAAACTGATTTTTTTAATGTTGTATTTTAGCATCCTGTTGCACTGATTTTCATCCATGATATGTATACAATGGCCATCTTGTAATGCACTCAATTTCACCTGTTACTTCATGACATGTTTCAGCAACATAGTGCCATCATCAGGTGCTTTATTTATGCTAAGCTATTGCATTGCTTGCCATTATATGTCTTTGTGAATTTATTTAAAAAGTATTTAAAAGGTACATATTCGTCAACTATAATAAATTTTTATACATTAGAACTTGTTAAGATTATTCATCTTATGTGTCTTATTTCAAACTCACATATGGTTCTTCCACAGAATATACAGAATGAAATGTCTAGATTGCCCCATGGAATATATAGGACAAATTGGGAGAAAATTTAATACCAGATATAAAGAACACATACATGACATAAAACACAATAACAGCAATACAGGATACTCGGAACACACATTAAACACAGGACATGCATATGGTACAATAGAAAATACTATGGATATCATAGCAACGAATAAGAAAGGACAATATTTAAACACACTAGAAAACTATCATATATACAGAACACCAAAGAAAACCATGCATATGAACAATATAAATAAGGAAATATATAACCCAATATTTCATGAATTACACACAATTTACACAGAACAACATAACACAACCCCACCACATTTACCCCCACAACACCATAACCAATCAATACGAAGACACACACACATCCAACATTACAACACTTGCAGCCATAAAGGGAGCACACATCACAAGATACGGTGAGTACTAAACATTATAATACAACACATAACAGATAGAAGTCGAAAGTAATAATAATAAGTACCTTTTTCACGTTGCAGGTATACACAGAATATAAGAAAAACGACTCCCATAGTGGAAGAACCATACATGAGTTTGAAATAAGACACATAAGATGAATAATCTTAACAAATTTTAATGTATAAAAATTTATTACAGATGACGAATATGTGCCTTTTAAATACTTTTTAAATAATTTCACAAAGACATATAATGGCAAGCAGTGCAATAGCTTAGCGTAAATAAAGCATCTGATGATGGCACTATGTTGCCGAAACATGTCGTGAAGTAACAGGCGAAATTGAGTGCACGACAAGATGGCCATTGTATACATATCATGGCTGATTTTTTTTTTCTTTTGGTAACCTCTAGTAATGAAGTTTAATACTGAGGCCACAGGAAGGAGTCCCATGGATTGAACCCCTTCAGTTCTCCCTCAAGCTGTTATACTTTCCACTCCAACAGATTTCCCTATATTTCCTTCAGATCATGTAGTTACATGATAGTTACAGCTGATAGTTACAGCCACATGGTAGGCTTTGCTAGCAAACAGTTGCTTTGGGCTTGTTGACATAGGCCAGAGGTGGCTGAGAGGAACACAGCAGCAGAACAAGATGAAACCTCTCACTGTTGAACATCCTTCTGTGCTCGTAGTAGGGTATGGAATTAGTTTTGTGTTTCAAATAATGTGGTCCCTCACTGAAGGTTTAAATGTAGTTTATGTCTGTTATTCAGTTGAACTGTTTCACATTTTATGCATTTATGTCTACCATGATTGTGCCACAGCACATTTCTCTTTAATCCTTATCATAAGAATGATTTAGTGGGATTTTTTTAAGACTGCTTTTGTGATTGTATACACAGCTGTCCAAAAAGTTATCCTACTTTATTTTTTCCGCTGTAAGTAATTACCAAAGGGGTGGGAAAACTGAGCGTAGTGGTAGGAAGGACTTTCATGCGCATGCGTGATTTTTTGCTGACTCGAAACACTGCCGGACGCGTCTGTGGCTGCCAGATAGCAGAGTGGTGTAACATGTGTTCGTCGCATTCTCGTTTCGCTCAAGATGACAGAACGCTTGGAGCAGCGATACTGCATAAAGTTTTATCATAAACTTGGGGATACCCCAGTGGAAACAATCTGCAAAATTCAGCAGACTTTCGGCGATGATGCAATGGGGTTCACTCAAATTAAAGAGTGATTCAACCGCTTTAAAGATGGCCTATGTCGGCGGACAGTGACCAGCATTCTGGGAGACCGTCAACGAGCCAAAATGCTGATGTCACTGAACAAGTGTGGACGCTGATCATGGAGGACCGTCGTTGATGAGGCTGGGATCAGCCGAGGTTCCACAAACACAATTTTAACTGAGGATTTGAGCATGCGAAGAGTGGCGGCCAAATTTGTGCCCAAGCTACTTTTACCGGAGCAGCAACAATTCCACCTTGAGGTCACGCCAGACATGGTGGAGTGCACCAACAGGGATCCTGAGTTCCTCAAGACTGTGATCACTGGTGACGAGTCGTGGGTGTACAGATATGACCTGGAAACCAAGGTCCAGGCATCACAGTGGAAGCATCCAACATCCCCGAGGCCCAAAAAAGCACGACAGGTTCAGAGCAAGGTGAAGGTGATACTGACTGTTTTTTCAATTACAGGGCTTTTGTGCATCATGAGTAGGCACCACTAGGCCAAACTGTCAATAAGGATTACTACCAAGAAGTTCTCCGCCTTCTTCATGATGCCGTTTGGCGCAAGAGACCGGAGCTGTGTGACGCACGCAACTGGTAGCTGCATCATGACATCGCCCCAGCTCATTCATCACACCTGATCCAGGGTTTCCTGGCCATCACAGCATTCTGCAGGTTTGCCAGGCTCTCTACTCTCCTGACAAGGCTCCTTGTGATTTCTGGCTGTTCCCGAGATTGAAGACACTGCTGAAAGGCTCCTGTTTTGATAGCTGCAAGTACATCATGCAGAACGCAATGGCGCAGCTGCACGCCATTCCAAAAGAAGCCTTCCAGAATTGCTTCCAGTGATGGAATGACCACTGGGCTAAGTGTGTGGAGTTACAAGGGGCCTACTTTGAAGGGGATTAGGTATTGTAACTACCCAGATACAGAACTTTGTTTTCCCGGCCCAAGGTTGGATACTTTATGGGCAGAATAGTATGTCTGTGGTTCATGAAATACGTGTATGAGTGAGAGTCGGCAAGCAGGTCACAAATGGAAGTAAAACAGCTATAATATATGTACATAATAGGTTTTCTATGTGCATCACTAGGTACCAGCATAGTCCAGCGTCATGACAGTCTAAGTAGCAGACCTGTGTGTGTATGTTAAGAGGCTGATTTCAGTAGCCAAGATGGTGACCGTGCAGTGTTGTTTTATGCATTTTCTGTGGGCAAGACTGAGTCCAAAGGATGATCATAAGGAAATGCCTCCTGTTTAGATTGGGAAGTGTTTGTTGCATAAAGTGGTTTACAACTGGATTGAGAACTTCTCTCAAGACTGTTCAAAAGTTGCAGATGATGCCCGACCAGGTCACCCTGTTGAGGTTGCAGCAGAAGCAACTTTGCGGCAGCTGAAAGAATTGATTCGAGCTGACAGGAGGATGACAGTAGACAGTTGAAGTTGCATTAGCATATTATGATTGTCCATTGCCTCCAAATGTGATCTATGTTGACCTTTCTGGCCTCTGCCTACCCAGATAAGGGCACAGATTCCATCTATGAGGTGGAGACACCCATAGTGAGGATTCCATTACCACCATTGGTAGGATGATCATGAAAGTGATGGTTGGCAGTGGGTGCATCTCGTAGTCTTCATATTCCCATAATGTTATCTTTGGTAGGAGTGATGGGTTCAGTCTGTGAATAGAAGATCTATACACATCTGACTGACAATCAAACTCAGGACCCTCTGAATGATGGTCCAGGATCTTAACCCAACACCACTAGTTTCCCATGTATCCCATAAACCCTTCCAGAGATTTTGTTCGAATTTAATGTGGGAGACTCTTGCTAATTTGTATTTCACTATACCCATTTAAATATGAAGTTTCAGATTTAAGAGAATGTTGTTGGTAATTCTGTATGCTGTGTTATAGAGTACACCCTTTCCAGCTTTGTTTACTTAGTAAAGAACTTGTAATAATGGCATAGTGTTTTTCTTTTAATTCTAAAATACTGCATAATAGCACTTAGATATAAATGCAGTATAATCTGTTTTGTATTTTTCAATTCCAGGCTGACTAGAGTGTTAAAAAAGTTTGGTGAAGGTGACTGGCAGTTGGCGACTATGATATGTCAGGTGATCTGGAACTACTGCATTGAATCAGTGAATCTCCATGCTGCTCTGGGCATTGATCAAACAAATCAGTTACTGGGAATATTGGTGGACTTTTTAGGTGAGGTGACCACAAGAATCCTCAGGCATTAGATCTACTTGGCCTGTTAACAGATGTTACAAGACAGAATTTTTCCATCTTTTTCATGCCTTCTGAATCATCTCCTTCCAGTAGACTGTTATTCTCAAGTGTCACCCTCATCTTTGCACATGTGCAGATATAACAATATTACATTATATATTTATAGTTTAATGGCTCTGTTAGTAGCTCAGACTATGTAGCATCAAGCAGTAGGATGATTAATGAATAATGAATTAGAAAACGTCCAGAAAGAAATGATCATAGCATAATTTGAGGTAGTGTCCTGGCACATTCCTGGAAGGTCTGAGGAAAATGATGAGGAACCCTAGTCAGGACAGTCACACAATAATGTCAATGTAATGAATATTACAAAATTTCATCTGCTTGTGAAATGATCTGAATTCCGTAATTTAGTCTTTATTTTGTGTTACTATTGTAACATGTTTTGCCACTGAAGACGCCGTTTGGATTGTTAATGGGTTTATTCAATAACCTACAGATCGTAACTACAATTAATTATAACAGAGATGCGGGTTTACACAATTTATAAACCCTACACAATAATTTGCTCACTCTATCTTCAATAGTCTTCACTTATTCACAGTACAATACGGGAGCTATACCAGTGTCACTGTATTACACCCTCCCAATACCTTCTCACACCATCGCCTCTAATCACACGTTCTGGTCTTCTTCACGATTCACTCACTACAACTGAACTCGGTGACTGCTACAATTCAACTGACTGCTTAGGCATTCCAGTTCTCTTATAAACCCTCAGCCAGACAGCAGTAAAAGCACCTCGCTTCCTTGTTGCGTAATTGCCGTGTTTACAGTCATTGGTGGGCATCACTGCCGAGAGTTGTTTATTGCTGTGTAGTAACCGCGGTGTTCCCATCACTGTGGGAAGTGCTGTTACGTCACCGCAGGGAAGGGGCGCTCACCCAGTGCTGCGCGATGGTGGAAGCCGAGTTCACATGACCCGTACTTCCTGTTGCTCCATCCACGTCACACTATAAATATAATTATATGATTATATTTTCTGTATTGATTGGATTTTAATGTGGCTGGGAGGGAGTATGCATAAGGTTTAAATGTCACACATGATAGACTAGTCAGTAAAATGACTAGTCAGGGTTTGGTTCTTGGGAGAAAGAAAATGCTCGTAGTTCAGAGACAACATAGCCTTATTCACCAGATATCAGGTTGCTGCAGGCAGCCGAAGAATACAGCTGAACACTCGTCTCAAGTCAGTGCCAAACATGAGAATGCTTGCCTTCTAACCCCTTGGTGTCTGGCAAGTGCCATACTGCTGGAATTCAAAGTATATAAAAGGAAAGTGCTTACTTTTATCTTTCAGTAAAAGCTCTGATATTTTTATTGCAATCAGCTGTATGCATTGAGTAGCTTACTTTTAACACATTAAGGACCAGTGATTTAAATATTAGATCACCCTGGGGACCGCCATTATTAAACCTACTGTCCTAACACTTGCACTGTTCACTTTAAAAATTAATATAAAATCTCCTAATTAATTTTATGAAGTAAAATTTTTGGAGAACACTTACCAATGCACCTAGAAGTGTGTGAGGGTGTGATATTTCTGGAAAGATTCCCCTTTGTGAAGTGGCATTACACAGAATTTGCAAATGTAGACATACTCCTTTTTTTGTGAACTGTGCAAACATGGTATTGCCTAGAAGGATGCTTCCCCTTGGAATGTTCACTCTTCACAATTTTGACAAGGGTATGTTTCCGCATATCACCCGAGAGTCACCCTGGGGGGTCCACATGAGGCCTGCATGGGGTAGTAGTTGATGGGCCTGGACGCACTAAATCCGTGACTGACTCTGGTTCTGCTGCCACCATCTGGTCTGTAGCCCAGGCCTTTACCACATTCATCAGAAAGGCTTTGTATTTAAATTTTGAATCAGGGTTTAAATTTTTGTGATTTTTTTTTAGACATTTTGCTGTCCCCGCAATATTACTACGCGCAGTGTTATTACCCCCATTATCGTTGGAGCTACTGTCACTTTTACTGTCTCTGGCCACAATTCTTTGTTTCCCCTGTCACTGCGCTCTCTCAATCACCGTCACTATGCCGCTCACAAGGCAGGTCAGCTGGCTCATGGGAGAAGACTTTGTCCTTGTCCATACCCCACCACTAACTACTGGCTGATGCATACAACTCGAAGAGCAGCAAAGCATTTTCGTTTATAGTGGCTTAAGAAAACAGTGAGATCAAGTTACTGACAAGTAAGGAAACATTCCAGAGTTTTATTATGCCATTGCATACAACTTGGGTGGAGCCAGAGCAAGGTACAAACTAACGTGTCCTAACATCATGATATCATGCGACCGGTCTGCCACGTTTACAAGTCAAAAGTATAATATCATGCGACCAGTCCTCAGTGTGTTAAGAAGTGTGTTCCTTGGTTTCACATGTGCCAAGCGAGACAAGCTGCACTCTCAACTAACTGTTCCAATATTGTGCACATTCAGAGGAAAGAGAAAGTCGTGTTTGTACTGCCAGTCATACAGGTGCATTTCCACATGATTTAACTTGTAGCGCACAGTTCACAGCTGTCGACATTACTGAAAGAGGATCATGAGGCAGGCTCTTGATGTTCTTGATGTGGAGACGTGGTCTGTGAGGGTTTGTATTCATGTTACATTGCAGATGAGGAGCGTTTGTTTGGAGTCGTGGAAGGTACAGACGTGAATGAGGCTCTGGCTACTTCTGAATATTATCAAATGTGGGAAGAATTTGCTGGAGTAGCAACAAATTTGCTGGAGAAGATGGAGACATTCCTGGATTCTCTAGATTCGCCCGAACAGTTGGAACACATGGAACCTCTACTCAGTGACCATCAGTCCCTAGGGCACAGTATATCCTCTGCACAGCCTGAGTTACAACAGTATCAGGTCCTGTAAAGATGGGTGAGGGTGTGGGGAAATCATCTTTGATATTATTGCAATGTTCAGTGTCATGAGAGTCACAAAGAAGAACGTCTGTCTATGACTGGACAAGCCAGGGGTCACCAGGTTTTTATAATGCTTTTATGGGGAGAGGTGGTCGGATTCACAGAAGTTATTTTCTCACCAAAAGTAGTTTGTTTTTTTTTGCAAGTGGAAGCACTGATTCAGATAATTACAAAAACAAATGTATTGTAAGCATGCAGCTCATTCTGCTTCAACTTCAAAATATGCTGCTTATATCAGAAACTGTACTGAGTTTTAAATCAGAATATAATATTTAACACATATATGTCTATCAAAACAAAGGATGCAACATTATATACAATATCTCAAATATTCTTTATGTAAAAGAATTTTGTAACTGTTTACTTGTTCACTTATATGCAGAATATATTCCAATTGTGAAGATGTTAACCAATTCCGTCCATACAGTTCTTATAAAATATTAAAAAAAATATATATATATACACTTACTACTGCTGAATTATATAAGTAATGTGGTATTATTTTACAGATGATGCTTTTATTACATTATGGAGAGGGAATCTGTGTGCAATATTCTGCACTGCCTTTAGAGATATATAGTTTATGTTTTGTAAACATTAAATGTACAGATTAGATGTAAGGCCACAACTGCAGTTCCCTAAGAACCCCTGAAACAGATTGGAGTATATAGGATTTAGAAGTTAGCTACTAAACATTCTTAACTATAGAAATATTGTTTAGAATATTATGAACAATGAGAAATGTTTGATTGAGCTACTTAATTCTTCATTGGATTTGAGGTACTTGTGGTGACTATGAAGTGTATAAATGTTATGTTTGGGAAGCCTAACATATTGTCTCCATAGCCTGGCCAAACGGGCAAGCCAAACATGCAGTGAAGAGTAGCAGGGAGGCTCTCTCCTAACTTCAGCCCAGAAGATCATTGTTACTTTGTTTGTTCTGATCAGCTGACATGGTTGCCTAAATCCTCATTATATGGCAAGTGATTTACAGATGATACCCACTTATTTCTTGAAGATTACATGCAAATTACACTAAATTTATGAGTTATTTCTGTATGGTCAGTTCCTAGAACAGAATGTTTATAGCTCACTGCACCCTTTGCTAGGTCATTTATATTTATACATGGAATAATGAATATTATTACTATAATGTTAAGTCACAGGAGATCAGATTATGAGTTGTCCTCAGGTAACTGTTCTTGTCAGTGTCTTATAATCTGCAGCCAGCGAGATCCCCATTAATATTCTTCTGGGAGACAGCAGGAAGAATCAATGGAGGAAATATGTGTGGGTAAAGAGGGCAAGGATCGGGTGTAACTTGAAGATATAACCTATCTATCTTATTGAATAGGGTCAAATTGTATATTATGTAAATATATGGCTTTCCTTCCTTATACACTATGGCCAACTTACACATATCAGACTCTGTGAAATCTATTAGTGACTTGTTCAAATCATTGCAGATACATTTTGATTTACAGTTTTTAAGCGATTAATCATTGGAAACTCAAATATTTGACAGTAATCAAAAGTTGCATTTTTGTGGATGGATCATAAGCCTTTAGATTTCAGGCTTTCTGTGTTGCAATAATTTACTGCTTCTGGTGTCAGAAATCTGCACTTAACATAGTGTTATCACTTTGCGGGTCTGTGATATGGATTGCAATTTGCAACCTTCTGTTTGGGAAAATTATGCCTATTTATTTATGCACATAATACTTAAGTAAGATATGGGACAGTCATTTTTACATTACTGATAACTTTATTTCATATTTGGCTCACACAGTGGTTTATGATCAGTATTAGTTGTACTGGGGCACGCCGTGGCATAGTTGGTTGAGGCACTATGTTACAAGTCGGAAGCTCATGTGTTCAATTCCCGACAAGGTCATTGGATTTTTTCAGTTTACCCAATCTTTCCAGCAGCACTATGGCCTGGGGTTGACTCAGTCTCTAGTACCATGAATCTTCCTGGGGATAAAAGGCATCTGGCACACAAGACTGACAATCTCACCGCCATCTGTGAGCCGACTGTCTGGAGAAAATGTGGGAGCCTCAACATCTCACAACCCAGTGGGCCTCCATGGCCTGTTACAGGGATAGCTTTATGTTTATTTTTATGTGTCATGACTCCATGATGAATCTTTTGACACCAATATAAATTAATGTTTTTAATTTGACATTTATATAACTCAGAGATTAATTATTATTAACACTTTGCGGACTGGTGACATATTTTTATGCCCAGCGCTTTTAAACGTGGCGGACCGGTGGCATATTTTTATGACTTTAGGACACGTTACATTGTAACACATTATACCTTTCTCTGGCGCCGCCCAAATAAAATGACTACTGCGTAATATTGTTCCGGAATGTTTGCTTAGTAGGCAGTAACTTGATCTTGTTGTTTGGGTACCCCTTCCAAAGGAAAATTATCTTTGACCCTTCAAGCTCTTATGTACCAGGCAAGAAGTTAGTTGCGCAATGAGTCAAGGACAGAAGTGGTTGAAAACCAAGCAATATCTGACTTGTTCTCTGATGTGAGCTATTTGACATTCCTTCTGAGACGTGTAGTGATAGTGATTTGACAGTGGCAGTGGCAGAGGACAACAAACAATTGTGGCTATAGACAATATAAGCGAAAGTAGCTCCGACAAAAGTGCAGGTAGAAGGAGAATGTTTCTAGAAATATCACACTCTCANAAATATGTTGTGTGGTCGGTAAAATTCACTCTAATATTGATTAAATACACAACAGGATGCAAGAAACAATTAAAGNTCATAATATTAATTAGGATATTTTATATTAATTTTTAAAATAACAGTGCACAAGTTAGGGTAGTGGGTTAAAAATGCCAGTCCCCAGGGTGATTTAAATATTTAAATTGCTGGTCCACAAAGTGTTAAGAGTGTATGTTTCTTTTCCTCCCATGTGAAAAGAAAATTGTGCTAATGTATAAGTTTTGAGGTTGTCATTACAGTGAATATTAGAGTCAATTTTACCGACCACACAACATATTTTTTATTATTATTACACTACATGTTTCAACCTCAAGAGGTCATCCTCAGGTGTATGAACACAGCTGTATAATTACACGCAATCACATTCGTCTTCTCACTTATTGCGTGTAATTATACAGCTGTGTTCATACACCTGAGGATGACCTCTTGAGGTCGAAACATGTAGTGTAATAATAAAAAAAAAATATGTTGTGTGGTCGGTAAAATTCACTCTAATATTGATTAAATACACAACAGGATGCAAGAAACAATTAAAGTTATTTCAGTGAATGTTAAGATTCAGTTTTCTGTTTCCTCACACATAATTTGGTTTGTGCTTTAAGTTCTGGCAACTCATATGTCAGTCATCCTCTTTCTATAATTATTTCTTTTCAGAAAAGGCTTTCGATTGCACAGGCGCAGTCACGTTGTCTGCCATCATTCATTTTAGCTGTGACTTGTGCGTGTAGTCTAATCACATGCCTGCCCCTTGTACCACAATATCAGACTTGCTTCCCTTAAAACGTGGATAGCTTCTTTCTGATGCGTCAAAATACGATCACAAATACAATCTTACGCCATATAAATATGCACTTACAATATTTTAATAAAACTTAATGTTACCTATAAGACCCAACAATACTGAAATCACACATAAACAGTTAATTTTCACATAATCATCTAAAGAACAAATTCCTTCGCTGGTCTAGCCAGCAAACCGAAATTTGCTTCCCTTTGCCCCTTCCGATTAGACCAATTATTACGAAGATTGACGAAAGGAAACTTGGTCCTTCCCACCAAGCAGGGGAAGGTAGGAGGAGGCGGCATGTGGCCTTGAGCAGGAACATGCACTAAATGACAGTATTCACATCCTTATTATTCAAATAGAATTATTTATATATGACTTCTTTTTTTTTTTTTACTATGGAAGCAATTCTTCCCTTGCTTCCATGCGCGGCACACCACTGCATACATCCATATATATGTTTACTTTGTGTAATATAATTTTATCATACCACTTAATTATGTACTTATGATTTACTGACATTTGGTGCATTGAGAGATGTACTGTTTACCTTCAGGCAGGATAATAAATGTATATAAGATGTTAGAATCAATTGTGTAAGTATTGTCACGTGACAGAGTGTGACTGTAGATAGGGTTCAGATTGTGACTCAATACATTGAGCACTCACTTTAACACACGACTTGGAGCTACATTTAATTGTAGCACCATCCCTAGTCTCCACACTTTACAAATCACTAGAGCATGCAAACTAGTGTTCTCATTGTGCACTAGTTGTATCCTGGTAACGGCTTCTAACAGTGGAAATTTTTCAACTTCTGCACTCACGCCAACAACTTGAGCTAATCTCCAAGTCACATTGCGACTGACGGTCAGTCGGTCAGTAAGTCTTGGTGTCAAGCCCCATCTGGGGCTCATGACCAGATATTTATTACTGTTTGGCATTTACAGTCTGCGGTCTGTTTGGCACTGCGGCCAGTCCACTCACTGCAACTAACCTCTCTCCCTACCGACGCGCGCCGCGCTACCTCACCGGTCAAGAATCTCAGCAACTACGGTCCTTTTCAGGACCAACAGACTGTTCCGAAGAAGTGGGTTGTCATCGGAGTAATGACAAAACTACATAAAACCCCACAGGTACATAGGTATCAGTTTTTCGGGGGAACCTCTTGCCTCCATTTTCAGGATAGTATAGTGATTGTCACCTTGTGTAGTTTTGTTTCGGAGAAATTCCAGTCTTCCATGTTCGTTGTAGAAGAGCGGGGGATGTCTCACAGGTATCTGGAAACGTTTCGGGGTCTCCTTCTTCAGGGCAACTCATGGGTTGTTATCCGTGTAGTCTGTGAGGTGTCAACATGGAGGAATCTGCTGCTTCCATTAGCGTTTCAGAGGAAAGCTCTGTCTCCATTTTTAGAGTTAGAATAAAAAATGACGCCGTGTAGTTTACAAAATTACTCGACGCCTGTGTCGCTATATCGACTGCGCTTCTCTGGCCCCCTCGGTATTGTTTTTATGCCTCAGATTGCGTTTAAAAGTTCTCCCCCATCTCAATATATATAGGTCTATACTGAAAGGTTTTAAGAACAGCAAGCATAATGACTTCTTACAAGGGTCATTGTTGGTGCTATTGATATTACATTAAAATAATTCCCACGGCCAAATCGTAACACCCAATATTGGAGTAAGAAACAGTCTGTTCCGAATTTGTAATTTTCGTGAGAATGGCGACAGATGAATTCTTATTGTGTGGAAAAATAATTATATATATAATAAAGGCCTAGGCTTTGCCCATCAGGCATAGGCGACGTACGATAAACAGATTTGTCGGCAGACCCATCTGTTGTGCAGAATTAGTACTATCTATACACTAGCGCAATCTGTGCCA